AAAAAAAAAAAAAAAAGAGAGAGAGAGAGAGAACACAGACACGTTTTCCACTAACCCACCACGCCCACTCCGGGCTTCTATCAGCAAGTTTCTATTTTTTACGTTTGATACCATGGATTGGGTTGATCGTATAACGAGGCGTGAACGAGGATGGACCGTTGATGAGTTGCGTTTCCTGGGCTTTATTTACATTTACCCTTGCCGGCATGTTATTGAATTATGTTTGTTCCACGGATGATGCTTGGAAGTCTGATCTCGAATCCGTGGAGGCTTTCCTTATTATTAATGGTTAGAGTGCAATCCAATACCCACCAAGTGATTTGAACTGGTTATCACGACATGACATGAATGTGTATGTATGTACGGCCGGATGTATAATAGATTCATAGACCCCATGCGGATGAGTCTTGTCATTTTTACGGACGTCAACCTTAAGGGAAAACATACTGGACCCGTTTGCAAACTATGCCAAGGTATCTTTCCTCAGTAATGTTGATTAGGTTAAGCTTTCCGGACTGTTGATTACTAGAAGCTTTTACACTACGTTCAAGTTCCAAGGTTCGCGGAATGCAGACTCCGTATACCTGGACTGGTTACTCCACCCACCCTTGCTTTTTCGGTCCGTGACCAGGGGTAATTAATTGATTGGTAGATCGAGTAAAGCTATCACAAGGTTTCAACTAATCTCTAGAGACTGATTCTTCCTTCCTATGCTTTGACTCCACGCCGTTGTACATCATGATGGATTAAGCTATATATATAACAGTTTGAAGGGACGTGAACGTATCATTTCGGAGGGTGAATGTTGAAATGAAGTAACAAAAGGAAAATACCAAATGCCTCTGCAGCTAGCAAAAAAGGAAAGGATGAACCAAAAAGGCCCAAATGCAAGGCAAGTTTTTCTCATGATATCCGTTACCGTAATCATACTCGTCATCATCATTAGTATCATAAATTGACTTTATAGCAAAACACTGCATTCAGGTCTGCCAGTCATGTAAGGATTGGTACATCTGTCTCTGAATATGGTGTGAAAGTTCTGAGATCAAAGTCCAGAATATCTTCGCGCATTTCGTCCTCATTCCAGAAGTATTCGGCCGATCGCCGGCGCTTCTGCTGTCGAGCCGCGAGGGCTTCTTCATCGACTTGGTCTGTCCCAAGGGCACATTCCTGTTGTGTTAGAATGAAATCTATTAAGACTTGCCGGAGACGGTCCCAGATCGTCCCCTGTCGTTTCCATTCCAGACGTTTGGCGATGCGGATCATCCGGGAGACGATCCAGCATCTCTCTCCTGCGTCGCAAGCATGGTCGTTTGAATAGCCACCGTTGTTTAGGAAAAGCCATAGTACGGAGGTAATGCTGGGGTTCGTATAAGGGTTGAGCTTTTTTATCTCCAAGTCCAGCCAGTCAAGGTATCGGTCGAAGTTGGAAGATGTTGAGTAACAATCGTATAACGCAACAGCCAGGAAGAAGAGACATGACATGCATGTGAATTCGTCAATGAACCGCACATCGCGTATCCCATGGTCGTAGTCTGGGAGCATAGTGAGGATCGAATATAACTGGGTGCCAGGGCCAAAGCGCTTGTTGCGGTGACCGGTATTGCTAGATACCATGATGGAAGGTGATTCAAGTGCAGTGTATTCCAGCTCATGAAGGCGGCGGAAAAATCTTAAGAAATCTTCACATGCCCGGAGTTGATCACAGAGGCTTTCTGCACCTTCTTCTGTTGCGAAATGATGGGGGATAGCAAAATGGATGTTAGTGTCGACAAAATCAAGTCCAGCGGGAGGACTATCCGGTAAGGTTCCAGACCAAGGTAACGAGGTACCATATATCGCCTTTGGAGCGCAACTGAAATCAACCCTACACAGAAATTAGTCGATGGCTACTTTGGGATAGAGGCTCAAGGCTGCTGTTAAGATTACCAGTATAAGACTTTCTCCAGGAAAGGGCTCGAGGCTCGCATTCCTTGCATCCCTCCTCGATTTTTGATCATCGACGCTAATCCCCTGAAGTGCATCCGTTCTATTGAGGCATCCTTCGACCATTTCTTCAACAGTGTCAGCTGCTGGAATAAACAAGCAAGGATGAAACCTACCTCGATAACAGCCATAGTAGCCACAGCGTAGATAGTCCCATCATGCTGACCCATAGAGTCTGCTTGGATGCGCTCGTTCATTAGCCGTAGCGCTCGCATTTTGTGGGTGAGACTTTGGACAGACTCCGCCTTTCCTTCTACGCCCGCACGATGCTTAGAGGCAATGGCAAGCATGGCTTGAAAAGGAAGTTCATCATGTAATGCGAATTGTCGGAATATCTCCATCAAGGGATTGTTCGCAATGGATTCGGCGAATTTATACATCATAGACGGATAAGTCACCACAACTTCAAATTGTAAGCCCCCAGCCATATCATAGAATTGAACCCCTAGGAGAGCCTGGACATCCGCTGCTTCCACTACTCTCAATTCATACCAAATCTACATGCAAATTCAGGGGGTGAGAGGATCAGGACTTACAGTGCTGGATCAATTCATGATCTACGTGGCTAACTGAGATCGGGTAGCAGCTAAAGGGGTCTCGCCTGCCTCCTTCTCCGGGAGACGCGCAAGGGTCAGACGTCGTGTAGTTAGCAATCGGAGGAGAAGTCTCCTCCTCACGTTTAACCTTGTGCAGTTTTGGTATCAGCAACCGTGAGGGTCTTCTAGTGTGTTCTGTATTATTCTGATCCTCGTTCTTAGTTGGAGATTCTGCTTTGACCTTTGCATAAGTCTCCTCTTGTACCTCTTCCACGCGGGAAGAAGTGTTTGATACATGAGTATCGGACGGAGGACGGGTGGTCCAACCGCTAACAGGTATACGAGATGGCCCTAGGCGAGCAATGCTGTCCAAACGCCGCTGATGCATGTATTGACGCATAGCATGACGGCGTACTTGACGCCGAGACTCATTATCCGTAACTAGCACAAACTCGAAGTTTCTGGACTGGGAGGCCTGCGGACCCGTCCTGGGGGATTGGTTGTTCTTGGACGGCCCTGCCACGTTGCTCGCATGATTGCTAGCAGGCTGAAGTGCGTATTGGTCCGCTGAACTAGAACAATTTGAGTCTTGGAAGTTGACGTCGGGCTTTATTCCGGGCCCAAAGTCCTTAGCACCCTCCTCCCCCATCGTCTCATGGTCCAGGCTCGGCCGGCTAAAGTTGGATGGTCCAGCTCAAGCCGCGTGCTGGAAGCAGTTGAGTGGAGAACAGCTTGCCGGTGGGGAACGCCGCTCGTTAATCGGATAAGTAAGAAACCTTCATCCCACACTGAGATCACTAGGGGCGGCATCCGAGATCCTGGTGCATATCAAGAGTGTCGTGTTGGAACCAAAACTTCCAATGTTGGCCGTCTCCCCGATTTCCCCTTTCGGTGCATTGCCCCACCAAATCCACACGTGATTCATCCTTACGTCTGACTCAGCAGCGTCTGTGTTTCTGCAATCCTCGTGAGAATTAGAGCCCTAGGTTAGGTGCCATGCCCATACAAAAGCATTCCTTTTCGCGATTTAAATGCAGGGGAGTCGTGATAGCTAGGGATTATCGTGCCCCATGCAGCGCCGTGTTGCTTGACATTAGCTTAAGAAATAAGCTCCACATGGCGAAGGAATCAGTTCCGCAGCCTCCCCATGGGGAAATCAGCTCTCGTTCTCACCCACTTTAGAGCTCTGCTATCAGAACTCAATGTGTGTAACTCGTTCACTATGCAATTCTAATGACTGCCGAAAAAAAAAATGTGTATTTAGGGGCTCATTTTGACTATAACCAATCTACTCCACAAAGAAAAGGTCTTGCGCAAAGGACCACATAAGCTGTAGGGACAACACATAGTGTCAAAGAAAGCTACCTTTGTTATGTGGCGTCTCATCCACCCGGCGGCACCTTTGACCTCTTCCACTTCGCGATGGGCCACGAACGCTGCTATCCAGTCACCGTGAACGCCACAGTATCCATCATGTTTGAATCTATGTCGCTTATTATACTTGAAATTGATTCACTTAGCGCGAACGCATTCATCTAGGTGCACACAGCGTAAGCAACTCAACTTTGTGTATTGGAAGCGAGTTCATTTATCCGCCGCTTTCTCTAAGTTTTGCCAAAGCTGCCACTATGCCGTCACTCATTCCTTCCCTCTGAGCAGCTTTGTCCGGATGGACACGTTCAACGAGGTCTTCCTGAGACCCCACATGCGCGCCTTCTGATTCTGCTGCTAACATTGCCTCTTCATCCTCATTATGTGCATTCGTTGAAGTTGACATCTTGCTGTTTCGACTCGTCGGCTCGTTGTTCTTTTGACTATATAAGTTTTGTGCAGGCGCCGCTGTTTTTCTCGATGCTTCCACCCTAAAGTCTTCTCTTACCGCATTACACCATTGTCGAACTTTCTTCTCACCCCAGCCGGGTACAGCGCTGATCTGTTCTGGCTGCGCGTTGATAGCATTTTGCAGACTTCCAAATGTGGAGATGAGGCTTGCCGCATCGGACTTGTTAATGCTTCTGGGCGCCGTGACAAACTCAATAAGTGACTCCTTATACGACTGTGCTTGCTGGGTGCGGATTGCAGTTGGTTGGGAGTTTTCGGAGGACTTGAATAATTCTAAGTAGTGCGCAGCTTCAGGAGCGGACCAACAAAGGGTCAGGGTGAGGTTGTTGATGATTGAGGTCTTAGATAGCTCCTTCAAACTATCTTCATGGTTTGGGATGTCTACCATAATCAGGAGAATACGAAGCAGATACTTCCCTGCGAGGAGTCGGATTCGAGAATAGATGTATTCAGGATGTAAGCGGTGATATTTCAAAGATAGGAAGAGTGCACAAGTAGTGGTCCCAACCACGTAGTCAGCCGGGATATCGGCATATTCCCAGGGCAGAAGTTTGATATGATTCAGTATTGGGTTGCCCTTTTGTCTCGTCGAAACAAGGAGAGCCGAAGGGGTGCTTCTGCTTGGCAGGACCTGCGGCTTTGGCTGCTGGACTTTTGAAGGCACTGGCCCTGTTGGTGTTTGCCTAGATGCAGGGGCCTCAGGCCTTGGGGTAGAGCTTCCTTCTACATTTGAAGGAGAGTCAACCCCCGTACTTTCGCCATATTCATTGACCATGACTTTTTGGACGGCGATAAAGGCGGGACTTCAACAGCGGTACTAGCAGTAACTCAATCACTATCTAATCGCAGTCGAGCCGTGCTCTCTTCACCGCCTAGACCCACTTTTATCTTCAAACCATCGCTGGGAATTTTCTGCCGCTGATTTTGATGCAAGGCAAAAAAGGAAAAGAGAAAAGCAATTCAAATTGCAGTGATGGCTGGAAAGAACGAGACTAGCCATAAAAGCCTCCCGAAAGGCAGAGGGGATTCTGAGGAGGTGGAAGCCGCCCTGGATGCCGCGAAGAATGACACAGTCCAGGAAGAATCGGTCTCCAACAAGCCTAGGAGAACTTTATTCGTTCGATCTCTGCCCGCCTCTGCGACGACCGAGAAGTTGGCGGAATATTTTTCGCAGTCCTACGTTATCAAACACGCTTTGGTCGTCAATGATTCCGAAACAAAGCAGTCTAAGGGATATGGTTTCGTGACGTTTGCTGATGTTGACGATGCGAAAGCCGCTCTGGAAGAATTCAGTGGATCTGTGTTCGATGGGAAAAAGATCAAGGTTGACTACGCCCAGCCCCGTCACCGTACAATCGATGAGAATGCGGGGAAGAGTGTACCATCATCTGCTGCGCTTGAGGCTAAAAAGCAGAGAGAGCAAGAGAGGGCTGCCACTCAGCCGCCCAAACTGATTGTTCGCAACTTGCCTTGGAGCATCAAGGAGCCGGATGACCTTGCAGTCCATTTCAGAAGCTACGGGAAAATCAAACATGTCAATCTCCCAAAGAAGGGAAACAAACTTGCAGGATTCGGTTTTGTGGTTCTGAGAGGAAAGAAGAACGCCGAGAAGGCACTGGAAGCTGTCAATGGAAAGGAGGTAGATGGGAGAACTTTGGCTGTCGATTGGGCCGTGGACAAGGCTGTCTGGGAGAATATACAACAAGATAGCCAAGAGCAGGAAAATGGAGAGGAAGAAGAGTCAAGCGACGCTGAGATGGCAGACGACGCCGAGGCTGAATCTGGTGTTGATGATGATGAAGACCTCCCCGAGGACGAAGATATGGATGACATCGATCAGAGTGATGAAGAGGAAGACGAAGACGAGGAAGAAGAAGAAGCGGAAGAGGAAGACAAAGAGGATGAAAGAACCGCCGCCACCGTCTTTATTCGGAATCTACCATTCACCTGTACAGATGAGACACTCTACGAACATTTTACTCAGTTCGGACCCTTGCGTTATGCACGCATCGTTGTCGACCCGGAAACCGAACGCCCTCGCGGTACAGGCTTCGTTTGCTTCTGGAAGGCGGAGGATGCAGCGGCGTGTGTGCGCGATGCTCCAAAACAACAAGACACCATTGTCCCAGAGAAGGAAAAGGCCAAAAAGGGCTCCATTGCATTCAAACATTCCGTCCTTCAGAATGAGAATGCCGACCCAACTGGGCGTTATACCTTGGACGGCCGAGTACTGCAGGTTTCCCGGGCTGTGAGTAAATCACGAGCTACGCAACTCGCAGAGGAAGGTGTCTCACGGCGTCTTGTTCGTGATACTGACAAGCGTCGCCTGTATCTTCTGTCTGAGGGAACTATCCCCTCGGATTCCCCTCTGTACAAGAAGCTCTCACCGTCTGAGATAAAGATGAGAGAGGACAGCTTCAAACAGCGACAAAGTTTTATCAAGAAGAACCCAACGCTTCATCTTAGTTTGACGCGGCTGTCCGTTCGAAACGTTCCCCGCCATATCACCTCGAAGGATCTGAAGCAACTCGCTCGACAAGCCGTTGTTGGTTTCGCCCAGGATGTCTCTGCTGGCTTGCGCCAGCCCCTGTCCAAGGATGAGCTACAGCGTGCTTCGGAAGAGATGAAGGAAGCTGAGCAGCTCAGAAAGAAGAAAGGTCTTGGTGTTGTGAGACAAGCCAAGATCGTTTTCGAAGGACGGGATGGAAGTAAGGTCGAGGAGAACCGTGGCGCCGGAAGAAGTCGAGGTTATGGTTTCGTCGAGTATTTTACCCACCGGCATGCGTTGATGGGACTCAGGTGGCTCAACTGCCACGCCGTCGAAGCCCCCGCAACCGGCTCCGAAGATGCTAAGGACAAGAAGAAACGACTCATTGTTGAATTTGCTCTTGAAAACGCAAATGTCGTCAGACGCCGCCAGGAGCAACAAGAAAAGATGCGTAATTTCAAGAAAGGTAGTCAGAAAAATGGGGACTCAAAAAATGGCGACTCCCAGAACAAAACAGCACCAAAGGGCAATAAACGAAAGCGCTCCGAGAGCAATAGCGACCAAGGGCAGGGTGGAGCAGATACGGAAGAACAGAACAAGGTTGCCAAACGCAATCGTATCATCGCAAAGAAAAGAATGCAGCGGAGGACTCGGAAGGGAAAGGCGTAGTTGGGGGCTCAAAAGTTATGAATGGCTAATTTTGTACACAGCATTTGATTTATAATTACTCATGCTTCAGTTTTAGACGTGGTTTACCTTGAAAGAAGCGGAAGCATCTGTGATGCTCCATAAACATCTGAAATCAAAATAGCTCAAATCCCATGGGTATAGTACCTATTCCAAGGCGTAAAGATAGCTGATTCCGCATCACCCACTTGCCCCTAGCATCAGTAGTTTGTAGCGTCTTTCACCTTTCCAACAATATTATACCTATTGCTGAAGAACGTGAACCACTCATCTAAAACCGTCTTTTCCTTATCTTCGAGATCGTACCAATCTGGTCTACAGTCCTCCGGTTTCAGAGACGAACAGGCCAGAGCTCGAGAAGGGTCTTTTCCTGCGAAGACTGCAACATTTGTCAGAGTAGATCCTGACTACTGGGGGGACGGAGATGACCTACCACGATACGAACCATCTGGGCCATAGGCTGAGTTTTTGGATACGTCGAAAACGATACCCTTGATGGCGACCCAAGTCGGACGGTTGGGATCCGTACCTAGTGGTGGAATTATCCTCGGTCAGCTTAATATCTCGGTGAGGGTGTAGATAGACTTTTGAGGTACTCAGCATCGACTAGAGAGAACACGTACCGTCGCACTTTGCCAATTCCTCCACGGTAATTGGATCATCCTTGGGGGGATCGAGTTGAACAGGAACCTTGGGTTTGAAACGTTCAGACATGTTGATACAATTTTTCAAGACAAATTCGTATCTTTCAATATGGATCGAGTATGGATCAGAAGCTGTTATATGTTTTCGGTGTCGGAAAGTCGATAGAAGTCGGGCCGACACAAAACGCGGGGCTGTTAGGCGGGGGGAAATTTTGATGCAAAGACCGACATAACCGTGGGTCTGACCGTGTTTGACGTGATTCAATTTGAACCATGTGCAAGATACACCTCGTTTATCATCCTCCTCGTTGAATTGCGACCATGTAATTGGCTGACAATAAGGGTTTGTAGGTACTGTTATCCATCAGCTTCGAAATAGAATTCAGCAATAGATTAGTTGCTTTATCGATATATAACGTTCAAAGATCTTTGGAATATAAAGAAAGAAAGAAAAGTCACTGGAACTGTCGCGTGGTCGAACTGACGTCAACCGCCACCAACCCCTGTCCCTCAAACCATGTATAAGTAGAAGAACTGTATCCAAGCGGAAAAGACTGGCTCTAAGCTACCTTCTCTGATCACTTCCATGATCTAAAATACTTTCAACAATACTACCTTCAACTATCCTCTAATCCAAACCGCTCCACAGCGAAGATTGGTACGTTGAGAATGTCTTCTTCACTGCAAGAACCTCAAGGGAGCTCGCACAGTCTAAGCTCGGCCTCGCAAAGCCAAACGCCTTCTGGAAACATCAGGAGATCCCGTGGGGCGAGCACTGTCGAACCTGATATGTCGCATTATCTCTATTTTGAAGATAACGATTGCTTCTTCCCGCCAACCGAGTTGGGTCAGAAACCACCGAGGCAGGGAGAGGGACGAAAACCAAGGCAATCGCCGATGGATGCGGAACAACCGCGAGTCCCAGAGGAATGAGGGCCGAAACAATTGTTATTACAAAGTTTGAGGCTTGAGATATCCTACTATAATGTAATAGCTAATTCACTGATAAAGGCCTGCCGAGGAATCATTTATACTGCTCTATCTAGAGTTCAACCCAGGAATATTTAAATAATTAGGCTGTAGCTTTCATTGTTGGAGGCCATTTCATACTACAATTTTACGGGTAGTACTTATAGTGGTATGGTGTTTGATTGTCTAAAAGACTCATTTGATTACTACCAGGTAGCCCTGCTTACTTTATGAGCACCTTTTCTTCCCCACCCCACTCTTCCTTCTTTTCTTGGTAAGGGAATCCAATCTCGACCTCGATAGCAAACATTATATGTATTGAACAATACACCAACATTGTTAACTGCAGGTAAAGAAAGTTTTCACTTGACGATACAGTAGCATGTGAACCCATGATTTAGAAGACGCTACTGGAAGAAACCATACAGAGTAAATGCAAGCCAAGTGGAGCCTCTGGTCTTTAGTAGTTAGTTAACCGCAGGGTTAGATCGCAGCCTAATCAATTAATTCCCTTTATCGAGAGGTATTAGAATTTCTTCCAAAATAATGACGAAGATTCTTCTCTGGGCCTAACTTTGTGAGTGAGACTAGCTACTACCCCCGCTAAATCTATAAAACGGGCATGGGCTCCGTACTGGATTGACCGACAAGCAGTGAGTGACACGTTGAAATGTGCCCCTCCAACAATGCGCCCCACGCGGGTTGCATTCCAACACACCTGATACGGTTGAAGTTAGCCCGTTACGGTGGGACATAATTTCCACATTGGAATATGATTCTACTTAGACGCTTTAAAGACTGCCCCTTCTCCCCCATGGGACACTGGGAACCGATTCCCTGTACGGATTCATTGTCCTCTGTGTTACTCTAAAGATAGGCGACCACGAAATCATGGTCATGATTCCAAAGACTGACGCAAGGGCTGATGGTTCAGCCACTTAGATCAAAAAATGAGAGTAGTATGCGCTTGCTCCGAAATCCCATTAACCTCGGATGGTGCGCATCTGTCCGCTCTTGTGGGGATTCCTCCACCGTAGGTGAGCTTCTACCACATTTTCGCTGAGCGGTGATTTGCTCATGAGAACCTTTCATAGTAACTACTACTGTAAACTACTGCACGTCTAGATCTTATTGGTTTTTTGATCCTTCTTTTTTTTTTTCTTTCTCGTTCCCACAAAGTCGGGTATACTACGGCGATACCATGATCAGTTGCCCGGCTCAGCTAGTTTGCAAAATTTCTCACAAGGCGCCTCCTTCCTTAACCCGCTGGTTATCTTGCGTCTCCCTCTTTTCTTTTCTTTTCTCCTTATATACAACCTATCCCATCTTTAACGCTACAACTCACATAAACACTCTCAACCCTGAGGGCCAGTAGTAATCGGCTATGATCAACTCTGATTCAGACCCTGAGCGTGCCCAGGGGCCTGTCGCAACCTCCTTCCACCATGGAGAACTTTCCTTTCTATCGGCGGACAAGCTGACGAGGCGGCTGGGCTCTTCAATGGGCATCCCTGAGAAGAACCCCGCGATGAACCACAGTGAAGAGTCACTCAATGCTGGATCCAACATACTTACCAAGGACGGCACGCACCGATTTCTCAAATCACGGCATATCCAGTTGATTGGTATCGGAGGTACAATTGGTACGGCGCTTTACGTCCAGATTGGCCAAAGCCTGCTTAATGGTGGTCCCGCCAGTTTATTTCTGGCATTCACGATATGGTTAGTTTTCATAACCCTTGTTGATGTACTCTTTTACCTGTCACCGTGGCTTGTGTTTGATTGGGGTTACTGTGTCTCAAAGAACCTTAAAATATTGGTGAGTCTATACGGGCAGCAAAGAAACGAATATTACTTCTCGTTTGAGATCCAGTTTGCAAAGGAAAAAAGATGCGGCGCCAATGAATACAAAGCAAAAACATAAAACTCCGCTCCACAGATCCTCAAACCGCCGTGACATGCACCGCGGTTTTGGAAGAGACAACCAGAGCCCAGACCCCATATTCTTTCCCACACAAGTCCGATTTGCTACTTCTATATCTGGGGCCGTGGAGTCTTATACATCTCTTTTTCTTAGGTGCTCCGTCATTTTAGCTATAACTGTTTGTACGAACTCCCAGCCCCCCAAGCTCCGAAATCCTTGCCTTTCTTCGTTATTACCGCCAGCAGCGTTTTCCTCCCAATGCAGCCCTCTCGGTGGATGGCGATAGGTCTCCATAAGCGCCACATTCCCCCGTGTGTCCATGTCCATAGAATCCATCAGTTTTCACGTCCCCAATTTCCCATTGCGGCTATGCTGGTCTACCCCAATGCGATCTCTCTTCCATGCGCTTCCGTTATGTAGCATTTACTGAACCACAGGAACTCCTAGGTCTGGCTGAGATGGTTGTATACCTTCCCGTCTCCTCTCCTTTTATCCACTTTGCTGGCCGCTATGTCGACGAAGCCTTTGGGGTAGCAGCCGGTTGGAATTTCTTCGTCTTCGAAGCTGTGCAGGTGCCATTCGAAATCACCGCATGTAGTATGATCATCCACTACTGGAGCGATGTGGTCCCAACAGTTGCAATCATAGTCATTGTGCTTGTGCTCTATGCGTGCGTTATTCCTCATGCGATTAGGGGCGCCCCCGTGGTACTTCATTTCTAACCCATAAAATAGATTCTTGAATGTCTTCGCCGTGAACTACTATGGTGAAGCCGAGTTTTGGCTTGCTCTGGGAAAAGTCCTACTCAGTATAGGTCTGATCGTCTTCACGTTCGTTGCAATGTTGGGTGGCAATCCCCAAAAGGACCGATTTGGGTTTCGCTATTGGCAAGAGCCTGGTTCATTTGCAGAGTATTACAAGACGGGGGACCTTGGGCGATGGTTAGGATTTCTGGCTTGCTTGATCAAAGCGAGTTTCACCATTGCGGGCCCCGACTATGTGTCAATGGCCGCTGGAGAAACGGAGAATCCACGAAAGGTCTTGCCGAAAGCATACAATGGCGTCTTCTACCGACTCACGTCATTCTTCGTTCTAGGAGCACTATGCGTGGGTATTTTGGTCCCTTACAATGACCCGACCATGGTCAATGCATTCGAAAAGGACCTACCTGGCGCGGCTGCATCGCCCTATGTCATTGCGATGGACAGACTGGGTATTCCGGTTCTACCCCATATTGTCAATGCCATGGTCCTTGGAGCCGCCTTCAGTGCAGGAAACAGCTATGTCTACTGCGCAAGCAGATGCCTGTATGGACTTGCGCTAGACAACAAAGCGCCAAAAATCTTCAGGAAATGCACGAAGAATGGCGTTCCCATCTACTGCGTGGGGCTTGTCCTGCTGATTGCGCTGTTAGCCTTCCTGCAGGTCTCCAACAGCGCATCAGTTGTGCTCAATTGGTTTATCAACCTGGTAGGTCACCCCATAAAGATCTCAAGGCAAGCGGCTAAACCGTGCATCAGGTTACTGCGTCGCAATTGATTAATTTCTCGGTCGTTACATTCTCCTATACCCGCTTTAGGAAGGCGCTCATCACGCAAAATGTTCCCCGCAGCTCTCTCCCGTATCAAAGTCTCGGTCAGCCTTACGTTGCCTATACGGCCCTGGTCTGTACGGTAGTCATGACGTTTGTGGGTGGGTATGAAGTCTTTCTACCTGGAAAATGGGATATTCCCACCTTTTTCTTCTCGTACACGATGATTGGAGTATTCCCAATCATTTTCTTTGGATGGAAGCTTTGGCACAAGACCCATGTTCGAAAACCTGAAGAAATTGATCTGAAGACTGGACTCGATGAAATTGACGAGTATGAAAGAAATCATGTGTCGTTGCCTGCGAGGTATGTGCTGTCCATTCTATCTGAAGTATTTCCAACTCCGCTATTATTTTTGCGCGACTAAACATCCTCATAGCAATATATTCTCGAGATTTGCCGATTGGATTTTCGGCTAAGGCTGTACATTCGCCTCTGCTTTTTTGGTGGCCTGTTGTTCAGGAACTTCAGCTGTACGGCATTACGAATTGAACGGTGTAACATCGATATATCTGAGCAGCTCTCATCGTGTAGAGCTTATTAAAATCTGTAACTTTATGCGAAGCCTAAAATGTGTTGGATTATTATACATCAGCAATCAATCTACGAATCAGAAAATGCTTCCCGCGCACCTAAAGCACAAGTCCGTAACTCCTACTCTGTAGAACTAGCAACCCTCCCACCGCTCCCTGGGCCTAATTGCCCTCGTCCTGCGCACCCTGAGCAGCCTTTAGTGCCTCCATCCGTTGCTTGTTTCTCTTCCCTAGTACCCGCAACGTATTCTTTTTCTCCATCTCCGTCATCTGCGCCCAGTTCGCGATCCGTGATAACGTCCCATCCTGGTTGACCACCAACGGACCCAAGTGATCCAATTTCACTGTCGACCCATCACCGCTGACATCAAGCTGCTGTGTCTGATCGGCGCTGCTGGAGTCGGGAAGAGCGAGGTATTGCTCTGGTTTCTTTTCGGTGGCGGAGTCGGTAGCGGCATTCTCGGGTTGTTGTTGTTGGGTTTGCTCAGTGGGCGATGACATTGTGGAGTAGGGCTTTCCTTGATAGAGGTTGGAGGGACACTGGGGGTAGGCAATCGGTGTACGGATTGGTCTTTGATAGAGAATTGTCGCAGGTGCGATTGTGGTCGAGGCGCGCGTCGGGATCGTCAGGAGTGGGTTTAGGATGAGATGTAGAAGTGTTGTACGCGTTAAAATGGATTTGTGCATATCTTCTATCTGGGCCAGGTTTTCTGTTACTGCAGGTGAGTTTGGCTGATAAATAGATTGGGGTGTGTTGGTGGATTTGGTGGTGCGGAAATCGGTGGGACTGACGGAGGATTCTAGAACGATCATTCGAACCTGCTTGGTGGTGTTTTGGAGGTACGTATGTGGTTTGGGATATAGCCTCCAATTTCTATTTTTCTACCTGTTTACATATGTAAAGATTATCTATTTGGTAGAATATATTGTATTATATGGAGACTATTTACTCTGAATTTATCTAAACCACCAATTGACCTACGATGCGTCAGAGAACGTATGACATGCAAGATGTAGATAAAAAGAAGGGAACTTACCGAAGCAGTGACATCATGTCCTACCCCCTTAATGCTATGCCACCATCCTTTAGGAATGAACATCCCATCGCCAGCCTCCAGCTGTGCTTCGTACCCGATATACTTGCGCTCCGAACTGGCTGTGTCCAAGTTATCGTCCCAAACCTCCTTCTCCAGCAGTGTCCTCTCTCGTCCCTGCATCATTTCTGACCCTCGAAACACAGCAGCTTCGCGATTCCCACTCCTCCCTAGTTGCCTTCTCACCGACGCGAACAGCGCCTGTCCATCGTCGGGGGCAATTAACCGCACAACTTTTCGTCCGGCAAGTTGAACGAACAGGTTCGGGTTGGGATCACGATGAAGGGGGGTGTATGTAGGCGGATAACCGATCCATACATTGGTATCGTAGACATCGCCGTTGCCCGCCTGGGACACAAGCTCGGGAGTCGCAAAATCGTCACGAAGCGTCTGTGGCAAATCAGATAGCTGGCATTGTGCTAAATACAGTCGAATCGACTGCGGCTGTTCCTCGGCTGTGCGCATCCATTCCAGAAAAAGTCTGAGAGGTGCGTTGAATTGTCTAAAACTAATATCATCCTTGTCCGGTTCCGTCGATGGCTGTGTAAGTTCTAGTGGGACAAGAGCGTCTGCACCGTGCTGCTCAAGGTATGCGGTATTCAATCGGGATACATTGGGGTCGGATGGGGAAGACTGGAACCAGCGTCCAAAGGCAGGTAGATCGCGGAAGCGACGGCGTGGGAAGACAACAGGAAGCTCGGGAAAGAAGTGCTCCTTGCGGAAATTCTCTATGCTAGCATCGTCAAGGATTTTCAAAGGATGATACCCGCAAGGCGTTATGAGGGAGGGAATGTTTTGGGTGCTCAATTGAACATGTCTCCGGGTTGGATTGTTAAATTGTGCAACGGCAGATGGATGGCGGTACCAAACTCGTGGGTTACCATGGAAAAGCCATCGCAGGACCTTCATTCAGGAGAGACGAGCGTCGTTCGTAAGTTTCGTCTGGTAAGATGTCTCAGGAGATCTCTGTACCTGAAGATCGTAGCTAAACTCGGGTGACAGCCGATCGGGGAATTTTGTCTTCCGGATTCCGAAGACTACGTAGCAGTACATTTATACATACTCCGTACAGGAATTGGCTAATAAGAGATCACTGTGTCACAAAAGTTTCGGAGCCCAAGTGTGCATTGATTCACAGTACATACTAAATTCGCTGAGTCAGGTGTCATCTGCACCATATGTATCCCCGTTAAGTACGGGACAAACCAACGGTTATTGACCTAATATCTTAGGAACTTTTCAAATAGTCCTGACAGCTCATAATGATTCAGTGGCTGGGGCCTATTTTACAGTTTACTAATGAAGGCAAGCAATGACTGCCGAACTAGAGTACTTCGGCTAGTATTTAGCACCCCCAACGATTTATCAAGTATTTAGTAAGTACTCATTTAAAATTGATTCTACTACTACGTACCAATTTACCAGTGAATCTCACGGAATTGTCCGAGGCTCGCAAATCCTTGCCTATTCAGGGCTGGTGTGGTCTGGGGAAAACGGAAACCCCGCGCACCCAATTGAATGAAAGTCGAAAGGAATCTCTCCGCACCGGTTGCTGCCATCGCTCGTTCCCATACCGGCTCATCGCACCCTAAAAGACCGTCAAGATGGCTTCGGAGACCACTCCGGTAGATACAACGACGTCGAAATCGGTATCAGGCGATCAGAATGCCCCTGTGGAGGGTGATAGTGCGAAGCGGAAAGCGGAACAGACCAACGGAACTCATACGCGCACGAAGCGGAATCGTTACATCTCTATTGCCTGGTATGACCCCGGATCTTGATCGTCCGATCCTAACCCCTCTGGAGAACATGCCACATGCCATATGCCATATGCCATATCGGTTTGTGTCTCGTGATATCTTGCGGCAGTGGAGCTGACTAGTCTTGGTACTGTACTTCCAGCAATGAATGCAAGCGACGGAAGATTAAGTGTAACGGTCAGGTACCGTGTCAACGATGTGGACACCTCAATCTCGAATGTTAGTAGACGGAACAACAGCCGCACCTCTGTCCTCCCAAGGGCCAGCGGTCCTCGCCCATGTGTCATGCGGTTAATCATGTTTTGATAGGTCGATATGCCCCTAATTGCTGCAACAATAACTTCAAGGATTCGGAGTATGTTGACCGAACTCCCCTGTATTCTGCGCTTACCACGGCTAATCTATATCCACCCTGAATAGTGAATTCCGCTCCATGAAAGATCAGATTACGACTCTGCAGGACCAGGTCAACAGCCTTTTCAGTAGTCTAAGTGAGCTCCGTTCGCAGAGATCTTCCATTGATTCGCCGAACTTCGACAGCTTCTCGCGAGATGGATCGCAGCCTGTGTTTACTTCTATGCATGCTGGGCTGGCCAAACCACGTGTGAGGCATCCCCGGTTCCATGGCCCCACGAGCTCGACTTTCAATTTCAATGTAGCAAGATCTAGCCTTCAAAACATGGGCATCGCTCCGACAGAAGAAGTGATAACCGACGACCTGACCACGGCTCATGCGACACCTGCTGGCTCACCTCCCCATGTCACACCATTCGCGCCTCCTATCCATCCTACTAAAGATCCTATATGGGCCATTAAACGTGAAGATGCTATACGACTATGCCAAATCTACGAAGAAGAGATTGGGATCATGTATCCGCTTTTCGAAATCGAAAAGGTGACGCAGCAAATCAACCTACTCTACACTTTTATGGAGGCTGCAACGCGCACTGGATTTGCACAACGAGCGCTGCCCGGCTCAGATGGTCTCCAAGACGACAATACAAACCTTATAAAGATGATTCTTGCTACAACACTGGTCGTGGAGGGTGGTGGCCAGAGCGAGCTTGGTCAACGCCTTTATCTGAGTGTGAAACCGGTTATTGAGTCCAAGATTTGGGAGCCATTAGACATTAGAACCATTCAGCTCTTCGGCATCGTGGTATGTTATTCTGATTCATCGCGCAGGCTTTTTGATAACTAACATCTCATGATAAGGCAACCTACCATTTCCATACTGACGACGATGCCATGGCCTACCGTCTCATCGGGTTAGCTGCTCGCATGTGCCTTGAACTCGGCCTGCATCGACGAGATGCGTTGGCGAAGTCATTTCCTAACGAAGATCAATGGCCAGAGATCATCAAGATCTTCTGGGCGACCTATAGCTTGGATAGGCGCTGGAGTCTTGGTACTGGGCTGCCGTTTGTTATTCAAGATGAAGATATTGATCCGAACTTACCAGAGCCGGTAGGATATGCTTACAACCGTCCCATCCAGGGTATCTGTTGCTAACAGACATTTAGGATGCATCGCTACCGTACCTAAGGTGTATGATTTCCTATAACCGCATTAGCTCAAAGATTTGGTACTCTGGACTTGGCTCAGAGGGAACAACGGACATACGTCGGGATGAAATCGGCTATTTGGACTATCAAATTCTCCAGTGGTACAAGCACGTTCCAGATGCCTTGAAGTTCTATCCAGTGCAGTCACCAAAGCATGGCGAGTCAGCGAACCGTGGTCTTCGACGACTACGTGTGCTGTTATATTTGCGCATGAACCAGCTTCGCATTCTTATCTACCGACCGGTTCTTCACTCAGCAGGTAGCATCTCCGAAGATAAGGGCCATGCCCAGACTGTGGTGGATGTTGCCAAAGATACGGTTCGTGTGCTTACACGGCTGAATCAAACTTCCGACATTTACCGCACTCAACAGATTACATTCAACTATTTCCTTGTTGCCGCTCTGGCTGTCCTTTTTCTCGCCGTTTGCCATGCGCCCACGGAGTTCAACCGGCAGGTCCGAGACGAGTTCTACATGGCACTTGATCTAGTCAACGGCTTTAGCACGAAGTCCTACGTATCGAAACGGTTGTGGAAGGCCATCAAAGGCCTTCGAAAAATTGGTGAAAGGCTGGGCGTGCTTGTGCGTCCCTTTGGGTCAGATTCTAATGACCCTCATTCTACGGCAGCTGTCGCTATGGCCGGTTTGGCTGGCCATCCGATTGAAGATCTATCGGTATATGGCCCTATGAATGGGGTTAATGAACTCGGAAGTAGCCCATTAAATGGGCTTCAGATGAGCCATGAGCTGACAACGCTGTTCGAGGCTGTTGGAGGATTCGGCAACTTCATTGCGCCGAGCACAACGCAGGATGGGCTGGGCGGGTTTGTAGGACCCGATGGCGAAATCCAAAACACGGGGGAAGGCCTTTCAGGAATTCTGGGAGACGACGGTGAATTATCACGAGCCATCAGGGACTTGTTCTAAGGGATACGCTTGTATGTCTATCGATGCGGTGTGTATATAGTGAGATTATTCTTTTCCAAAAAGTCCCACTCGGGTCTTCTTTGTGGGCGAACCTGACCAACGGTGGGAACCACCTTGATACAGTGTCGATAAAGTAATCATTCTATATTTTCTGAGTGCAGATAACAAATGGTAGGAGTAGGAGAAGCAAGTAGTAATACAAGTAGATCATGGACGGTCGAGACCCAACCCTCATTCCCTGCACGTGACCCCGCATGGCTGCCGTCAGTCGGAGGGCTGGAGAGTTAACCTAAGTTCTCTTGCCAACCACCCATCCTCTTGAATCCCAATCAAACCAGAAGCCATGCCCAACTGACGACCTACGGTTTGTGAGACCACACCTTCGACGTTGAGGGATCTCTCCACTTCTATCTAGTCCGCGACGGCTACGGCAACTGGGACCGCTGGCAAACATCTTTTTCCACCGCCCCACGAAACCTAATTTCGGAGAACCCCTCGACTGCGGCGATCAATCACTGCACAATCAAGGAAGGGAAGAAGAGACAGGGACTCCCGGATTTATTGCTCACTGTGCCCGCCAAGGATCGATAATTGCCAATATCCGAACTTTGTCTCCAATTTCCATGATCTTCTGAAGTCGTCTCCTTACTAGTGGGGGGAATTTATCGCTATCACGTCAACGCCGCCTCATCGCACAATAAGTCTCGTTTCGCACATTGTTATGACCCTTGGGCCTATCAGACAGACTCGTTCGCTTGTTTCTTGGCCTCTAAGGGTACTCCAGTCTTGCCTTCATTGAACAAGGCTCCTAATCTCCTAGATCGGGGGATTCCTGTGCGAAAGCGACTTGGGCCGGGACATAGTGTCAGCTGGTGCAAGTTGTCAGAGGCCTATCTCTTTACGAGATCACCCCAGAACGGTTTTTACCGGTAGCTCGGCAACGTGTCGAGAGAGACAGGTTCGGCGTTGGCCGACGGCCTAGACAGGCTGGATCTGAGTCAACTGTCAGAATCAACGCCCTCATCATCTGCGTCCGATTCGTTCGATATGTCGTCATCGGAAGGTGCCCCAGAGTCATGGATCTCCTCCTTTTGCTCCCTCATGGGCCATGAGTTCTTTGCCGAGGTGTCGGAGGATTTCATCGAAGATGACTTCAATTTGACGGGACTGCAGTCACAGGTGCCGATGTACAAGGAGGCATTGGAGATGATTTTAGATGTAGAACCAGAGGAGGATGAGGACGAAGAGGAAGAGGAAGAGGAAGAAGAAGACGAGGATGAAATATTAGGTGATGAGAAGCCCCCCGGGTATCGGCGAGCGGGTGACCGAAGGCATACGCGGGTGGCCAGTGATCTGAGCGTGATAGAGAGCTCTGCTGAGCTGCTCTACGGTTTAATTCATCAGAGATATATCACTTCTCGGCCGGGCATACAGCAGATGCTGGAAAAGTACGAGATGCAGCATTTTGGCGTCTGCCCCCGCGTCTACTGCAATGGATGCAAGGTTCTACCGGTTGGTCGGTCCGATACTCCAGGCCAAGAGACGGTGAAGCTCTTTTGTCCGAGCTGTCAGGATCTGTATACGCCCCCAAACAGTCGATTCCACTCTGTTGATGGTGCCTTCTTTGGAACTACTTTTGGATGCTTATTTTTCATGACATTCCCTGATTTGGACATTGGTCCTCGGCTCGATAGCTCTCTTGTATCGCCGACACGGTCATCTTCAGTAAATAACCAGGTCTCTCCCGACGTTCCCCCTGCTCATCAGCCGGTGGAGGTCAACGGAGTGCGGACGGCCAATTTCTGCCCCGGACTTGGACTGGGCAAAATCTACGAATCACGGATTTATGGATTCCGGGTTTCGGAGCGGTCCCGGACCGGGCCACGTATGAAATGGCTACGGATGAAGCCCACGGATGTTGAAGAACTCAATGAGATGGCTCGATATGAAGCAGCTCGTAGGGAAGCCGACAACGACGGCGATACAGAAATGGGCGCCGCTCCTGCAGGAGGAGCGCAGAACTCTGCGATCGCAAAGAGGAAAAAGGCACCTATGCGGAGACGGCGGTACAACCCTGATCAAATGAGCATTAACGGCGCCGAGGCGGGATAAACGAACAAAACAGCTATCATTATTAAAACTCTTTTGGGCGGTGGGAAAGAAATATTTAGAAGGAAATTAGTGTGGAAGTGATGGAAGCGCGCATGTTGACTTTTGTGGTTCTTTTCCTTTTTATCACTACTACCTCGTGGCCCATGGTCCTCTCAAACATTAACTGAAGTTTTTTTCCCTTTCTTTTGTGTGTCTTCTTTTCGCCTATCATCCCACAACTCCCACCCATTCCTTCCTTCATCAACTATTCATGTATGTCTTGTCTATGTTCACTGAATCATGTCTCATTTCTTTGACTGCATCAAGGCGTCTTCGGGTCGACTTTTCCGTCTTCCTGGCGTACAGATTCACGTTCGAGTACAGTACACAGAGCAATCATGGAATTAAAACTTTGAATGTTGATGGCCCGGCTGATTGTAGTTGACTCCTTCAAACATGAAAGCGTGATTTCCGTCGCATATCATCGGACACAGGGCTCTGTTCGGCATCATACTGCACCTAGCATTGCTCGTCGCTTTTGATCTCCCGTATGCACCCATTGAACAGTGCATAGTCTATTTCAGAGATTTAGTCGAGCAACAATAAAGAGGGAAATGAAGTGAAGATACAACCTGTCTATCATAGAGATCAACAAAGATAATGCTATGGAAAGGAACTATATACTCTCCAGCAGACCATGCAATGACAAGACCGTACCGCTCTCACCTGCATTCCTACCTACCTTACTTACATATAGTCAAAAGCGAGACTTATGCCATGTATCAGAATGCTGGTTAGCTGTTCTTTCCTCGGATATAGTTCATGTTGACCTTCATATCCTTGAATGTATGGATTTTCTAGGACTATGTTTTGTTTAGGTGTCTGTGTCGTGTTCTATTTAGAGAACGAATTCCAACATCAGTCACTTCAGGAGGATGGTTCTACACGGGGTGAGAGGCAGAGCCAGAGAACATCAACTTTGGGTGCTCTTCTATTCTACATACTTATATGTTGGCGATGGCGAGGCATATGCCAAAGAAAAAAAAAAAAAAAAAAAGAAGAAGAAGAAGGAAGACAGAAAAGCCTTGAATATTCGCCGGGAAAGCGCTGCGGATACTTTTGCCTATTATGACGCAGGAAAGATATATACCATAGGAGACGTCAATATTTGCTCTTCCCTGCGAAGTGTGAGGTGAGTGTACGGGTGCTGTTTTGAGGAGGCATACGTAGAATTATCGAGCCGTGAGCTTGAAGTCGTTGATATGAGCTCAATTTATAGAACCGAGCACTAAACATATTTTTGAAGTCCCCAATTGAAGCGCTTGGGTTGTTTGAAATAATGCCATTTCCCTGCATGGAACGATTCGTTTGGTTTTCGGGAGACTATTAGTATACGTTTAGAGATTGCTACTAATCTCAGGAGTAGGCCCCACGGTAAGACTTAAATGTAAAATTGTAGACGTGATAGGAAAGCTCATCGAACAACAAGAGGTGTCTCACCTGAGTAAAGAAACATTTGGTTAGTTCGTAAACAGAAAGGGCAGTATGATTCATACGCAGCTAAGAGGAACGGTGAACAGTGTTTAATCTTTATTTCACCATTTCATTTGTTGAAGTGGATTGGAAGCAACCGAGCATCATCAGTTGTTCGTCGAGATTTGAGAGTGTCAATACTCTTGGATATGGTTAATAGGTATAGCAGGTTAACGAGTACTTGCTCGACCCAATCTGTCAAGATGGGCCTATCACCAGCTGCTATTTCACTTTGGGTAATGCAAACGAGTCGTTGGAAATCTCATGTACTTTGTATTTTGTTGGTGATACTCCCCGAGAGTAAGCTGAAGAGCTCGGGGTTTGTCCGAATGGAGAGTCGATCATAAAAGGCTTGGCTCGAGGCATTTCTCAGGTGGGTTACACTGTTAATGAAATGATTTGATATATTACAGATTGATAGGGATTCTTAATTAGGAAAGTGTCATCTTAATTTACTTTTTGGGATTCTCTCTCTCTCTCTCTCTCTTTTCTTTTCTTTTCTTTTCTTTTCTTTTCTTTTTTTGGTTTCCTATCAGTAACGGTCGATATAAAAACGGTGTATGTACTCTGTGTATACGGAGTATGTGGATGAACTTTAGCGAATTGGATAAGCGACAATAGAAATAAGGTCTAGAATATGTCCCGTAATCTTCATCAATAGCCACGCGCGCATGCTAATGATGCACGCTAAGGCATGCACCGTCAATAGTCACTCATCATATAGTCAATTTCCTTCTCGTTGAAAATTACCCGAATCGTTAGTTAAGACCCCATTTATCTCCCAACAACAGGGATTCTTCGTGTCTTTCGTATTCATGTCGGACAATCCTCTAAAAATCTCTCACGGAGGGGGGTGTCAAATCATGCAAATTTGAAATACGTACTCGATCAATTCCCAACAACTGTTCCTCGGGTTTCGCCGGTATCATGAACCTCAATAGACGAATTAATTGGCCTCCTTTGAGCCGCCTTGCGTAACCATCCTTCACGAATCCAAGACCGAAGTCGAGAGTTTCGATTCCACACTAACGCAAGGACAAAAGTCGACGGCTTAGCCGGATACGAGTTGTGACTATCGAGTCAAGTATCACCACCACCACTTCATGAATTGTCACGCATGAAATAAGTTCGAGATTAAATCCTAATGGCTCCCCTGCTTTCCGATTGCCGGTTTTCAATCCATGTAACGTCGTAGATACGACTACCTTTAGTGGCGCTGGATAACCCCCCATTTGAGTTAAGATACGTACTGTACTACTGTCTCTGTCTCTGTCAAGGTGGGGAAGTCGTACCCAATCAATCATAAAACCCACTGGTACCAAACCCCGTGCGGGCTGTCAGCATTCAGTTTGCTCGCTCACCACGCTGATTGGCTCGCTCGGGTGTTTTAAATTGGGGCCACCTTCGGACCAAGAGGCTGATCATCTATTGCTCTCTGTCATGATTTAATGGATATGGCATAAGGCTGACCATCAGGTCAAAAGTTCCGTGGCCCTTTAAGGCGAGTGGCCTGTACCACAACAGGCCCGAAATGAAGTTAATACGGTGGAAATTGACGCCATACCTGACAAACAAGAAAGACAGGCTGAACGAGAAAGGGGCGGGGAGAAAACAGAAAAGGAAAGAAAAGAAAAATAAAAATAAAAATCTATCATTTTCCCTTCCGAGTAATAGTATAGTAAATATGCAATGTATTTTCAGACTACCAATGATGCTTCGAGGTAACCGGAACAGGTAATTGGTAGCGGCTCATCAATCCCTATCATGTGGCTGAATTGTTGTTGCTATTGACTTTCCAGCACATCTACAACCATAAGGTCTCTATCAAGGATCAGGTTGCCTTGCTGGTACCAGGGCGTGCAGAGCCCGAACTGTTCCCCGAGATTTGACTGAGAGTAGGACGGGATCAAGTCCCGTGGGACCCTGTTAGGCAGGGTGGTAGTTGTCCATACTTAGGAGGCTCAATTTGATAATGGATCCTCTAATATCTTTCTTAATCATACTGGGTGGAACATTTACTTCATGCATAAACATCAATATATACACTTCCCACTAATGGCTCAGGCCATGCAACTGTCCTGCACTGGACACCACATCCAATCGAGACAAGGGCCTCAAAACGAGTCTTCCTTCAAAAGTGTCAAAAGTAAAGAGCCAGAACATATCGTTGTCCACTCATTGTTCATCTCTCAGAAGTAGCAGTAGCACGAGGTCAGTGATTCAGAGTCCAGGGCAAAGCTTGCAAGGCTGAAGCTAGTTTCTCGACAATTTCCACAGAATAATTGAATTAATTAATTCAACCCATGAGAATAGCCCCCATAGATGTATACATACATACACCAAACCACGTCACCATGGAGTGGTGGAGGCGCAGCATGTTCGTTTCTCGCGCAGAGCCCCACTGCAAGCGCCTATTTCAGATTCCAGAGACCGAATCTTCGCAATCAATCTATTCCATGGGCCAAAGCCGAGAGAGCAAATCAAAATCAAATAAATTATTATTTTTTTTTTTACTTTTTTGTAAAAAAAAAAATATGTTAATGAAAAATGAAAAATAAAGGGTATCCGCAAGTTGAGTGCAAGGGGGGGTCCTGTTCTGGCCCGGGCGTTAGAAGGAGCCTTTTGATTTTACCGCGTGCCGGACGGATGGCGCCGGAATGGGGCCCGTCAAGGGCTGTTATGCCTTGAAGGGTAAATGGGGTCAATACCCAGGTGCCAACATTCGTCTGGAGCTACCTGCGTAAGTACTAGTATACCCATACCCGCTTTCTAGCGAGCCCCCGCGAGATGTCACTTAGTTGAGCAGATTAACTTAGGGCATATCGTCCAGGTATGATTCCTTTTGGGACAACCCTGTAGGCAACCATACCTGAATCTGAAATTTTTTGCGATCACTAGGCATCATTGTTAGTTTAAGAGTCACCCAAGGTTGAAGGAAGAGTATAAAAAAAAAGAAATGAAACAGGAAGAGATGATGGAACGCCTCAGGCTCCCGCTAGAAGCACCTAAGTCAACCTAGGCAAGTAATTGGGCGAAAGGAAACCGAAAAATAAGAAATTAAATTAAAAAAAAAAATACAAATCGATACAGTTGAAAATATTTCTAAACAAGTTCAACAAGAACTCTCTTCAGTCTAGCCCAAAATCTAGCGAGCAGCCCGAAGAGGCCCGCAACTTGTTTGGGGGCCAAGCTGTAAGTATGTACGATCTATACATAGCCTAAGGCCAACCAACACCCAAAGAGGAACCGATTGGTCGAGACCCCATTGTCAATGGTTTTCACCCCCAAGAAAAAGAGAGGGAAGAAAAACACACACACACACACACACACACATGCACACACATGCACACACAAGGAACTTCAAGTCGTAGTCTGTGATGAGGTCAAGAAAGCATGAATTGTAGGAGAATATAAATCACAATAATGATAATAATAACACTAATGATGAGAGACCACAGGAGGAAGGTTGTATCGTGGCCACTAATCAAGCTCCCATAATAGCCGGAACGCCAACCGCAATGTATCAATCAAGCTGTCACATCACCCGAACCCAAGGCCCTGTAAAGTTGCGCCCTGCCATATGTCTTGTCATGTTTGAAAACAGATGGCATCCCATGCCCAACAAGATAAAACTCCACGGTGCACATAACCCAATTTATCATACCAGTCGTTACAACGAGCCATCGCCGAAAGCAAACCAAATCACGTCATTAAAATAGAGGGTACGAGTGGGGAGAGCACGGGTCCGACTCGGGAGTAAGAGGGCATGCCAGATTGGGCGGCTCCGCTGGTGTCGATGGGGAGGAGTGATCATCGCTGCAAACGTGCGACAGCGGCGGCATCTGAAGGCAGGGAATTAGTCTTGCTGAATGTGGGATTTCTTGCAGATCGGCTCAATGAACGGGGAGGGGTATGTACAGGGATATTGGACTCTGAAAGGTGTTGAGAACTCGGACACAAATCGATGCCAGCCATGGATGCATAGCTCATGCTAAAAGGGCTCACAATATCTTCGTCCGCGTAGATATGCGGCCTCTTGACTGGGCCTGTCGTAGTCATTGTGACGGGGAGAATAGATGGCACTGATGTCCCATACTCTCCGTGATACATCTCACTGTAGGTACTCGGGATCGAATGATAGGGATGTGGCTGTCCATATGGGGACTGCCCGTAGGGTTCCAAGTGGGAATATGAAGGATAAGAGTACACAGGCGGGGGTGATGCGGAGAGCTGGCGCGTACATTGATGGGAGAACATCGCCCCCCTGTCATCATGTGCTGCATAACCATCATAGGCTGTGATCCTCTCTGCTGTAGCCCGTCTCGTGGCATCCCCGTTCGACTTGGAAGCGCGAGAGTTCCTAGTACGAGGCTTGGTGGGATGCGAACTCTTCGGCGCTTCAGACCTCTCGTTGGACCGTTCTGGGGATTCTGAAGCTGAGGCAGCCCTCTTCTCAAGATCCTCTAGGCGGCGCTTGAGCTTTTTGCCTAATACAATGCCCAAGTCAGAATAGCTGCCCATATCATTTTCTCGATAGCGGCACACTTACGGTAATTGCGCTGCGCAATTCGGTTCTGAATACGCCGCCGCTCGGCAAGATCTGATATCTTGGTCCAGTCTTCGTTAGGATTGGCATTCGGACTGAAGGCACTGCTGCTGGCGTGACTCGACGAGCCTCTTGAGCCGGTTGTTTGGTAGGTATGACTGCTTGATCGGTGCATCTTGGGCAGATAAAGGATGTGGGAAAGAATAGCAGAGGGAATCTCCCAACTCCCAACTATATATGATATGATAAGATAGTGGAACAGAGTTTCGTCCGTCTACGATTGGTAGACTTAATGAGATCAAAGTAAAATCGAGGAAGAGCGGCACAAGAACAAAGAATGGAAGAAAGATTGGCTATATAGATTCAGATTCAAGTGGTCAAAGCCGTCAATGATGATTTACCATCGGAACCTAAAACAGAGAAAGGAATCACGTAGTATTTAAAGAAGAGTTGGAGCCATGGTCAACCCACTAGAGAAACAGCCTACATGTAGCTCATTGCTTGCTAAGCCCCGGTCTCCGAGTCCAAAACAACCCATGACAGCGATTGAGCCGTTGCGATAACAGTGATAATCCCGTGTTCCGATTAATCTTCTCTTTTTCTCTATGGGTTGATTTTAATTTTAGTTTAATTTGATTAAATAGATAATAATATTTTTTTAAATAGGATTAAATAGAATTACTTTTTTTTTCTTGTTTTCTTTTCTTTTCTTTTTTTTTTTTTTTGGGGGGTCCGGTAACATTAGTGTTTCGCAACAGGTGAAATGCCTGGGGGCTTGGGGGCAGGGAGCCATTAGTATGCATGGCTTGACCATGTGTTGGTAGGGAACTTTTCCCGAATGGATACGCGGATGTGCAGGGCTGCATCGCAAATTGGTTGGCGGGCTGATGGAATCCCAGGTTGTGAGGCTGTTGAAGCGGACCCTCCGATGACCGAAAAGACCGAGAGGGGGGGAGGGGATTGACAACCAAGGAAAATGAGCAAGATCAGGCTGTGCTGAACCAACAGCCCCCGGGTTTGTCCACCATCATCGGCCATGTGGTTCCAGATATTGCATTAGCAGCATGTCGCTAAGGTTGAAGCTGCATTCTCCAAAGAAGGGGGCGGTTTTTCAACTGTATTGATGAATGAGCCTTACACTTCACGTACTGGTTAGATTCTAAAGGAACTTGATAACAAATAGCAACATCATGTAGAATGTAGATCTTTCACACACGTTTTTTTTCCCTTCCTTTTTACACCCTTCTTCATTTTCTTTTAACTGTGCTCTGGGGTGCTGAAAAAGAAACAATGCTGCAGCTCAATGACATCCTCAATTCCTCACCTTGTAGCAGGTTTGGAAAGGAGAGAAAAAGAAACAAATAAAATAAAATAGTAAAGTAAAAGCCTCGAAACAAGTGTAACAACGGACAATTTTCCAAGGTCGTATAGTCTTTCCTAACCAGATCTTTTACGAGCGAGCCAACAAAGATCAGTAAGGAAAGTGGAAGTTGCACAGTCATGCATTGCTAATGGGGGCCCTTCTTGGTGATTTACTTTTCCTTCCATGCATGTTACCTGAGGCACTTTCGGGTCCAACACGGATGCTGCCCTTGTATGTACGGTATATATGTGTATTATACTACTAGGTAAATTACAAATACCAAGAATGTTCCCTGGATTAGGGTAGCGAAGTGGCTTCCCAGAGAGTGCATGGCTCTGTCTCCAAAGGGAAACGGCCAGGAAGGGGCTAGATTTGCACATTCGGTTAGTGACAATTTGCGTGTGTCATACCAGTAATGCATGTATGGACGAAAAAGTATGGTTACACAATGAATCACTAACCTCGTTTTCATCCTCATTTTCTCCATGGTTACCTATTCTTAGACCGAGAGGTGCAAGGTTGTACTAACTAAAGGATAATTTAAGGCGTCTTTATTTGATGTCGGTCATCCGATGATTTGCATACGTTGCTATTTTGGCAGACCTCGGATTTCCTGCGTCCATCTGTCCTTCTATCAGTTCGTCATCATTCAGTGTCCAGCTGTTCGATGGGGTTAAGTGCAGAAGTATGATATATTTCCACTACTACAAATGTATATGAAACGGAATTATTAAGTTTTTCTCCAGCTTCCTGATAGAGTACGTCAATACGCTCCTACACCATAGACTCGTGTTTACTCCGTACTCTGATTTGGATAACATATTCTCAATATCGATAGCTACCAACTTTAATTACGGGCATTGCGACTAGTTGCATTCGGTCAAAATACCACCATTTTAAACTCCTTCGGGGTCAAATAAATTAGCCGCCGGCCCCCATCCCACTAGTATTTTAGTTAGAATGCGAGTATTGCTCCGTACATGCTCCTTCATTAGGGCGTCTTAATGAGAAAGAAAAATAGAAGGGGGTAGAAAATATATTAAAAAGAGAAGGGAGGGAGCAGGAAAGAAAAGAAAACAACTATAATTGTAATTCAACCGCACACCATTTCTAAACAAATGACAAATTTGTTGTCAATAAGAGTTAGTACGTATGTATGTACAGTACCTTAGTACTCCGTACGACCCACTCATTTACATGACAGGCTACATCTCCCTCCGGAATTGGATAACTCTTTTTTAATCTTGATGTTTTAGGGCAAAATACTTTCTGACCAATCACACCCGGGTGCACCAGTTTCCAGAAAAGGGATTTAGGCAACTTCCGACTGAGCTCCTGCATGGGTGCTTCCTCGACAGCGCGAAACCAGAAGCGGGCAAATTCTTGAAGAATGTTAGAAGTGGAAGAGTGCACGGCCTCGATTTCTGCCACGTTCGTACAGAACTCCTTTGATCTTGGCAACACACTAAAGATAAAGATCTCACTCTCCCCAGTGGATGGCGGCGTGGGTACTTTAATTGTATATCGTTTCTCTTATTATAAAACAAGACGACACTTGATGAACATGGAGAACTGAATAAGGCTGTGCTAGAAACATGGGTAAGGTATTGTTCATCTGACAATATGTAAGAATGCGGAACAGCCTTGTTTTGCCCATGTCTTGAATACGATGGGTGTTATTACCAATCTTTCTCTGTGTATGTGCGTGTATGTGTTTTATGTGTATTCTTCTTTTTCTATCTCATCTGCTGCTTCTGTTGCTAGGAATGATCTGCGTTGTCCACTATTATTAGTCTACGCCGCGTCCAACCCGTGCGAGGCTCAACTGTAAGGCAGATTACCTAGCATTCCATCATATTTGGGGGCGATAAAGTACTACTAGACGAGATATCCTATAACATGAAACTGGTTGATGACACATGTAAGACTCTTGCTAGATTAGGTTCCTGCTCATTGATACGTTACAGATCAACCCGACCGCCTTTTTCTTTCCCTAGATGTTGGATGATTGGAAAGGAATTAGTTGAGTCAAGCGAGATAGAGGGATCTTCCGTGGGTGTGTGTGTGTGTGTGTGTTTTGGGGGGGGATGATGCGTCAATATGATAATGCCCTATTTTTGGTTGTACCCCAGTCTGAGGTATCTCGAGGATTGGCAACTATGAGGCTCAACTTTTTTCTCTCTTTTTTGTTTCTTTTCCCTTTCTCTCTTGCTCTCTTCTTCTTCCTTTTTATTTTCTTTTTCTATTTTTATTCTTTTTACCCCTCCATTTTTCCTTTGCCCTTCAAAAATCTGTTCTTTCTAGAGTAATACGAAGGGCGCTCAAGTCACATTCAGGCCCCCCCCCCCTTGCGTAGGGCTGATGAAACGGGTTCTCATTGGCGAGGGTAGGAAACCAGCTAAGTAGTATCTGTTTCAGGATGTATGCCTCGAGGTAAAGCGCCAATAACATGGTTGGTCCCAGTTGGGTTGTCATGCACGGTGATATCTCTCGTCTCAATTTGGCGGTGGTTGTGGGGTCTGGGCCTGCATATAAGCATCCATTCATACTCTCACTCGGCGCCTCATGACCCCTCGCCATCGTATGTAACCCCATCTCTGCCTTCTCTTACCCCCCGGCCCTCGTTAGACCCGTGGCCCCCGACAAAAGTAAAAAAATAGAAAGAAAAGAGTTGTATATTATTGTGCATTGGTATAAACGGCACAGTGCCGATCAATACTATTTAGTCAGTTACTTTGACTAACCTCCTACCAGCAGATAGTCCTTCGTGGAGTCTAATGGTCGGTATGACTTATTTCCAAATTCGGGATCCTAAGAGACAAACATTCTCGATGACGAATAGTTAAACCTTCCAGCAATGGTCTTGAAACATCCAGGTAGTGATGAGACTTGTTGGCACATATCGTGCTTTGGCTGCAAGTACGTGACATCTATATGTCTACAATAACTAGCAGTGACTAGTTAATATTTTCAGGTGTTACCTAATCGGCAAGTTTCTCGGATTGAATACCCGTTTTTGTATGATTGCTTTACCTTCGTAGCCCCTCTTTCCCTGGGATTTGATCACTGGTTATATACTTCAAAAATTTAACGCAGGGTCATCATTACCACTGCTCCGCTTACAATGGTAGACTAAGCCTAAGGATCATCTGTGCCGCCCGAGAAGATTACGAACTTCAATTGCTTACCCAGGTGTGGGTGACCGCACGTGGTGACCGACTTGACATCTGACGGGCGAAGTGAAGTAGTATGAACGGTTAGATCATGAAAAATTTCCGCTGTATAGAAAGTTCCAGTCCCGCTCCCAAGTCTATGCAGGAATGAATCCTTCGGCGAAGTAATTCATGCATCTTTGATCGAGAGAAGCGCCCGCATTTCGCCAATATAATACCCTTTGATTCGTTGAAAGAGACGTTGTTACCGGAGAGATTTCTGTATCTATTTCAACTTATAAGGTCGGGGGCAAGTTAAACACCGAGGTGCAATCTATGTGAACATTAACTTCATTCGCTGAAGGTGGGGTGATGGAATCAGCAAAGGATGGCTTTCCTTGTACGGAGTTAAAAGAAAGAAAAAGAAAAAAGCCGAGCGGGCCAAGGTCGGGGTTCACTATTTTTAACCATTATTGAGCACTGGGAATGGCCAGAGTGCGCCAGAAGCCCGGTCGATGGTCAATATAAAAATACATACCATGCAGTCAATGCCTACTGAGGATCGAATAGGCCTCGAGGGAAGGGGCTAGGACTGTAGATTTTAATTGAGAACTAAAAGCGCCCCAAAACTAGTTTGTGTGTTAATGCTGTCCCAGCCAAGTCGGCGAATCCAATATGATTTTGAATGCATGTTCGGGATAAATAACAGGCGTCGCTCGAGGAGATCGTTTAGGGTCGATGTGTCCATACCAATCAGTTTTTAAAAGGTCACGGTTGGCTATCATTTCAATATAATGAATGAAGGAAATGTTATTGTTCTGTTGGCAATCGGTGGCTGTTGGCGATTTGGAAAAAAGGATATATTCCCGACATTCGGACAGCGCATATCTCCGTCAACACGTTCAAAAGTTGATGAATGAATGAATGGCCTTGCGGATCTCATCGGCATCCCTCCCTACCAATCCACTTTCCCATCAGATTCCTTCTCCACCAAAATGACTCAATATCCTGTGTTCCACCTCCCCATCATATCCGGATCCCGCTGTGTAGCACAGCCTTCGTGACGGCCTGACAATGCCATGGTGATCGGCCTGGTATGGAGGATTCAGATGTGTGCTGATCAACTTCTTCGCCGTTGTTGTCCCGTCTCGGATGGATGTGCATGGAGTAATGGAACTACTTGGGCGGGAACGGATCCTGCCGACGTTCTGGACGTCGTGTAGCGTGCGTTGTGGATCTCCTCGTGGCGGCCTGGAGATTTCTCCTCCCTCAGGCATAGCAAGATGGCTTGGGTCCCTTATGCACACCCGGTTTGGGCTTACAGCTACGCCTCGTTCCAGGCCGTTACGGATATTCTGCCTCAGGCACTAATTTGTGTGCTTCTCCCACGCTCGTACATACTCCGGGCCAGTACTTTAGCAATTGCCTCCTAGGCTAGACTCGAGGACCACGAACAGGAAATTCATGAGGTTCGAAGTTTTCCACGCTGGCAGAAACCGGCCTATACTATTGTGAATTATTGACATTGGGCGTGTCTCGCCCTGTGAATGGTTAATTGTACTGCTGTAAAGAGTACAGTACATCTCTATTCCACTGGATTGTCGTTCCATCGCTGGAATGCCATCTGTTACTATATTTATATATAAACATCTGGGATCGTCGTATTACGTCCGTGTAGAGACACGCCTTAGGTCGACAAGGTTCGTGACATAGCTCTTCAGGCGCCCCGTGAACTGGGCTCGAAAAGGCTGACCGGAAAAGTACCTTGTATGTACAATGGCAAAACACCGATCAACGACCTAACTCTAATACAGGCTAAGTCGTCATTCGCCATGATACAGCGGCTGAGTCTACGAGTTGTTGAGGTTCAAGCGCAAGGCGGTAGCTGCGGGCACAGTTGATCATTTCCTTCCTTGGGAGTTATGATTAGGCACCTGCAGAGGCCATTCACGGGTTGCTAGCGGCTTGGCTTCGTGGTAGATTCAGCAGGTGTCGACCTACCTAAGATACTTACCAGGTACTACAACCAGACTCGCAAGGTAGCTTTCACCTCTTGAGTGGTGGATACTTACTGCAGCTGGACAGAAGAGAGAAAGAGTTGCAAAGTCGAGGTAGCTAGACTTTCTACATATTCGTTTTAGAATATGTTATAATGCAAGATAGCGCTCATGCTAGTTGAAAAAATGGCCAAACCAAATTATAGCAGTGATATAACCCAAGTCTGCGAATCGTTCCTTTTATCCATACCCATAAAGAATCATGTAAAACACTCTAGACAACTTGTAGCCCGTTTTATGCCACCAAAGCTTTATTTATAGAACGTAGCTGGTAAAATCAGTATGAGATCATGAAGAATGCACCCGGCGGCAGACTTACCTCCACTTGTGATCTTCATCACCATACTGGATCCCCTCGATCCAGTTTTTCATCTGGGAAGCAATTTCGCCAGCTTCCTCATCCTCCTTCAAGCCGCAGTCGACCATCTTGCCTTTGTAGCTGATGCTTCGTACAGGGCTTACGATGGCTGCGGTGCCAGATCCGAACACCTCAATCAGCCTACCCTCGTCCGCTGCCTCAGCAACCTCAGACATTCTAATCTTGCGCTCAGAAACAGTCCAGCCATTTGGTGCTAATCTCTCTCGGGCAAGTCCTAAAACAGAGTCACGGGTCACGCCTTCAAGGATGGTCCCATCTAGAGGAGCAGTGACTAGTTCCTTCTGCCCTGTTTCCTTGTTCTTCAACGCAATAAAGAGGTTCATAGTGCCGACCTCGGTCACGTATTCTTCCTCACCGAAAAGCCACAAGTTTTGTTGGAAGCCTCGGGAGGCTGCGCTCAGTTGAGGAACAATGCACGGAGCGTAGTTAGCACCCAGCTTTTTATCTCCAACACCACCAGGCCACGCTCGAACAGCATAGTCAGTGGCCTCTAGCGAGATAGCTTTGAAGCCAGTGGGGTAATAAGGCCCAACGGGGCTTGCGATGACGAACAAAAGGGCAGAACCTGGTGGTCCAACCCCAAGGGTGCTTTGCGTGCCAATCATTGTGGGCCGCAGGTATAGTGAGTATCCCCGGGCACTATTGCTATTAGCTGAAATGCGTGGTGGCTCAGCGAAGACCTTACCTAGGGATGAATCTGCTGTCCAATTTCACGAGCTCCCCAACTAATTGGGTCAAAGCCTCACCGTCAACGGTAGGGAGAGCGATTCGCGACGAAGACTTGTTCAGGCGCTCCATGTTCTTGTCTGGACGGAACAGTCGAATTTGGCCATTGCTGTCTTTGTAGGCCTTCATGCCTTCGAAGCATTCAAATGCATAGTGAAACACACAAGCCGAGGGGTCCAAGCTAAGGTTTTGGTAGGGGACAATACGAGGGGCATCCCAGCCATTGGATGCTGACCATTCAATAGCAAGCATATGATCTAAGAGCGAAACGCGTTACTATAGGCACAGAATGTGGCCAATTCTGTGGATTGCACATACCAGTAAAGGTTTTGCCAAAAACGAGATCCTTGGCAGGCGTCAATTCTTTAGGGGTGCTCGTTTTGGTAACCGTAAGCTTTGAAGGATCCAGGCCAGCTAGCCGGGAAGCAACAGCTGGAGTACTGCTGAAATGCCTATGCCATAATCGAATTGTGTGGAAGCCCTGGCTCGGTGTGACAGCCAGGCTCTGTAGCGCCTTGTGACGAGTGAATTGACGCAGCGAGTTCATGGCTGCGCGCCGCAAACTGAGAACCGCGGTACTAACGGAGATGATTTCGCAGGGTGTCTCTCGACCCTGGCACTACTAAAGAGGAAATTGATAATAGTGAAAGACAGGAGTATGGACAGGAAAGCCGGCAGCGGAACTTAAAGGGCGGAAGGGGCTACCTTTTAATTGATGACTCTTATCCCACGGACCCTAGGTCCAACTCCGGAAGATCCAGCGATAACCGAACTGATACGGAAGCCAGCCAAACGCGCCCCACACGATCTCGAATGGCAAACTCGTCATATAAGTCTAGTGATGGAAGTGTAAAGTGCAACTTGTTAATTGTTGGCTGCCGTCAAAGTAACAAACCCAAAAGTTGACCACGAGATTGTTAATAAACAGGCCAGAGTGATTGATTTGACAATCCAGGGCTGATGTCCGAGGTCGGAGTTAAAAGTCGCAGATAGCCGGCAATAGCCTTTCCAGTGTACCATTCGAGGGCGGTACACCACGTGATACCAACCTGAGCTTTGCCGTTCCACAGTCGTTCATTGGCTACAGTGTTCATTATCACGTGACTACATCCGTCCAGATGGCAGATCAGGTATGCATAACTTAGGCTGAAGGTTTCGAGATGGATAATTAAGCGTAGCGTGTAGGGCTGAGGTGAACCAAACACGCGTTTCCCCCTTGCTTTTCTCTTCATCATCAACGCCCCCCTCTTTTCGTGAAATGGTCGCCTAAAGTGCATTGTCAATATCTGATTAGTATACGGGAGGGCATCTTGCGTGAACCACAGCTTGCCGAGGCTTTCTTACCACTCCATCATCACACCGAATCAAGGAAACAGTCCTTGGCTACTCAACCCAGAATACTGCTTGGTTCTATGCTCTTAGGCTATCGACAGGAGAATCATGTTTTCATCAGCTCTGAAATCATTTAGTTCCAATATATCAGCCAATTATCAAATTTCTCCGCAACCCGCAGTGATCTCTGGTCCCTGGAAAGTCCATGATGGAAAGAAAAAGTCCACCGGCACCTCAGCCTCCATTTTTATCTTTGACAAGAAGTCACTTGAGTCACGCCCAAGTGGTCTAGGTGGTCGCTCCTCCTCTTCCTCGGCAAAAAAATTGCACGAGGATGTCATTGAACGACTTAAACGGGAAGCCAGTGGCCTGACACGGCTCAGACATCCTTCTGTGCTGCAGGTTCTAGAGCCCGTGGAGGAAACCCGCGGTGGTGGTCTTATGTTTGTGACTGAGCAAATAACGACATCTCTTGCTAGGCTCCTGCAGGAGAAAGATGCGCAAGAAAGCAACTCGAGGTTAGGCTCGAGGTCAAGCCGTTACATGGTAGAAGAACCCGATGGAACTCGAAGGCGAAGAGATTTGGAGATTGACGAGCTAGAAATTCAAAAGGGGCTTTTGCAAGTTGCCAAGGGCCTCGAGTTCCTCCACGAATCTGCGGGTCTTGTACACGGCAATCTCAACCCCGAGGCCATTTTTATCAATGCCAAATCCGACTGGAAGATATCAGGCCTTGGGTTTGCCGGCCCTCCCAGCTCCACAGACTCTCGGTCCTCTCTTCCACCTTTAGCTTTGTCGGAAGTCCTTTACCAGGACCCTCGCCTCCCTCCCTCCGTCCAATTGAATCTGGATTATACGTCACCTGATTTTGCATTGGACTCCAATGTAAATACTTCTGCGGACCTGTTCTCCCTCGGGATCATCATCGTAGCTCTATATAACTCCCCACACATCTCTCCGCTCCAGGCTCATTCGAATCTGAGCTCATACAGAAAATTGCTCAGCTCTCCATCCACGACGCCATCACAGGGCAATAATTTTCTTTGCTCAGGCACTATTCCGAAAGACCTCGCTACGCACGTATTGCCCCGGCTCATAACTAGACGACCAGCGCAGCGTTTGAATGCCCGTGAATTCCAGCAATCACAATATTTCGATAACATATTAGTATCAACGATCCGTTTCTTGGAGTCTTTGCCAGCCAAGAATCAGAATGAGAAGTCACAATTCATGCGTGGCCTGCAGCGGGTTATCTCAGAATTTCCAGTGTCCGTGTTGGAAAGAAAAGTCTTGGGTATATTGTTGGACGAGCTGAAAGATCGTGAACTCTTACCCCTCATTTTACACAATATTTTTGCGATCCTCCAACGCATTCCCAATGCACGTCGTACACTTCCAGAGAAGGTAATTCCTCGAATCAAAGAGCTGTTTCCGACTGAGAAAGCTGCTGTTCATGAACGTGATTCTAAGAAAGATGCGGGCCTCATGGTTGTTCTTGAACACATGAAAATCGTGGCGGAGAACTGCTCCGGAAAGGAGCTGAAGGAGGATATCCTGCCACTAATCCGGCTAGCTCTAGATTCACCTACTCATTCCTTGGTAGACGGAGCTATCAAGTGCTTGCCTGTCATCCTTCCAATACTTGATTTTAGCACCGTCAAGAATGAGGTCTTCCCTCCAATCGCTTCTACATTTAGTCGAACAAACAGCCTTGCTATTAAAGTACGATGCTTGGAAGCATTTACTGCGCTGTGCGGTGGCTCTTCAAACGAAGGAGAGCCGGTCGAAGATGACTTGTCTGGGTTGGTCCAGAAAAGCAAGCCACAGCAAATCAGGTCATCTATCTTGGACAAGTATACAATCCAGGAAAAACTCGTCCCATCACTTAAGGCTATCAAAACTAAGGAGCCGGCTGTCATGATGGCGTCCTTGCATGTGTTTCAACAGATCGGCACAATTGCTGATACCGAATTCCTTGCTCTGGAGGTCCTCCCAATCCTGTGGAACTTCAGTCTAGGGCCACTTCTCAATTTAAATCAATTTGGAGAATTCATGAACCTGATTAAAAGCGTATCCTCGAAGATTGAGCGTGAACAGAGGAAGAAGCTTCAGGAGCTCTCTTCGGGAACAGACTCTAGCGGGTTCCAAAACGGCGCGGGAAGTTCCTCGAAGATACCCAATAGCTTAACACCTTCCAATATGGATTCCACGAGAGATAACTTTGAGCGCCTTGTTCTTGGGCGGGGTCCTGATGCTTCAAACTCCAAGGATACTGATCCGTGGGGCAGTATGCTCTCGGGAGAGGCGTCTGATCAAAAACAATCACCTGCAGCATTCTCGTGGTCAACAAATATGGTCGGATCGGCTGGCAGAGGCAATGCCCCGTCGGGCACTCCAAGCCTTAGTATGCGCTCCATTACACCTGATTATAACTTGAACTCGTTTCCCTCGCTGGAGCCTACTGCTAGGCAGAGATCTTCTCCAGCGCCCGCATTTCCTACCTTACAAGCAACATCACCTGCCACATGGAATACGCTGGTCTCTCCGAATAGTCAGAATCCTTTGTCTGGTCCATCCTTAGGGGCTTTAGCTAACATGAAGGCTTCTGGTGCCTCCATGTCTGGACCAAGCGTACAATCAACCCCTAATTTTGCTGCATTCTCCATCCCTCCACCTCCGTCTTCTCATATCGCGACGGGAACCTTCCCAAGCTCTGGTAGTCTGGCAGCTGCGAACAAGTCCCCCTTGGGGATAAATACTGCCCACAATGCATTCTCGAATAACAGCGTGTCACAACCACAAGGCAATGCAAAGCAGGGGCTTGACAAGTACGAAAGTCTATTGTAAGCGGAATGATATCATAGTAATATAGAACTCAGTTGGTCAATTCTTTTCTTCCTTTTGCCTACTTTAACTACCGTTCTGCTCCTTTCATTCTCTCACGCTTAGGTCTCTTCTTTTCTTTTACTTCTGTTTGTCGTTGTTATATGTACATAGACATGTGCTATTCATCTATAGATAATTTTAGGAGCTAAGGCCTAATCGTGAGCAAATATGTTTTCCCTACTTACTCTTGTACTCCGTATAGCCAACAGGTATCCATAAAGATAGAGAGGGTGGGTCAAGATTCTGATAAGCTGCCGAAGAAACTCCCCACTTTTGCCAAGAATTGTGTATCCATGATGTTACCTCCAGTCAGAGAAAGACTAAGGAGATAGGTACTTTACTGCGCAGGAATGCTCGCCGTTCGAGGCGCTTTAAAGCGCTTGCCTTCGGGACATTCTCTCCACCGCCCCTCCGGACCCTTTCCTCTGCCCCTCAATCGTCTCCGTCCTTCACGTCACTCTTCACGTACTTGTTCCTCTTTCACTAATAACCTTTCCACAAGCTCTGTATCTCTTACTCACACACATCAAAAAATAGTTACAATGGATGAGAAGGTCAAACAGCACTATCTAGCTGACTCCCCTCCCACGGTAGTTTGCCTAGAGATCAAACACCACTGGGATAATCTTAAGGATACAAAGCTGAGGCGATATGCGCACTACATAAGCAGGTTAGTTTCTTCTGAACCCCAGTTGCACAATTCTTGCTAGTCGCATGCGTGATCACCTACTCCATCGGTACATACAACGGTGATAACCGAGCTTATTGTTCAAATATTAGAGCGGCATTTGAAGGCACTCGCGTTACTTTGCGCCAGGTTTCTCCCGAGTCTGAGCCGATCTACGATCTCATAATCACACTCTATCGTGCCTGTGATGGAAATTGGACTGACCTCGCCAAGAAGACCAATGTAAGCGACGAGAATTTGCGCTATTTCTTGGAGTATTCGGCCCAGTTCCTCGGAAATTGCGGGAACTACAAAGGTTTTGGTGACTCCAAGTTCATTCCTCGACTGCCTGTAGAAACCTTTCAGGCGTTAGCCTCATCCACCTCAGAAACAAAAGCAGCATTTGAGAAAGCGAATACGACCGGAGGCGGCATTTATGAGACAAAAGAGCAGGCGCTTATGCACCTTGGTTATACAGATGGTGGCCATATGACTACTTATTACCCTGATTCGCCATCCATAACAAAGGATGAGATCACAGCTATTGGCGACCTTATGGAGAAAAAGGGGCTGCCCCTGGAAAATACAAGACTTAAGAAGTTATCGTCCGGGGACTTTGAATTGTTAATTGCCTCGGGCGTTGCTTCTCCTCCTGTAAGGGACAGGGATCTTGGTGAGGTGGACGGTTTGGACCTGGATGGTAACCTGGCTGGAAAGAAGCTGCGCCTGGTTTTTGGCGATCATATAGAGGAAATGGCAAAGATTGCCCATTCGGTTAAGCAAGCGGGGCTCAATGCAGCAAACGACAGCCAGAAACGGATGTTAGATGCATATGCCTTGTCGTTTGGTGCCGGTTCAATTGAAGCGTTCAAAGAAAGCCAGCGGACCTGGGTGAAAGATCAAAAGCCAAGTTTGGAGACCAACATAGGGTTTGTAGAAACTTATAGAGACCCGCATGGAGTGCGAGGAGAATGGGAAGGCTTCATTGCTTTGGTATGTTATAAGCATCATTATCTTTGTCACTTCTTCATCGGCTGATATTTGATACCCGGGCAGGTTAACCTAGAGCGTACCCGAGCATTCGGGAAACTGGTGGATAGTGCAGAGAGCATGATTCCTAAGCTTCCATGGGGCAAAGACTATGAAAAGGACAAATTTCTCAGCCCAGATTTCACTTCGCTGGAAGTCTTGAGCTTTCAATCTTCCGGCATACCTGCTGGCATCAACTTGCCCAATTATGACGATATCCGTCAAAATCTAGGCTTCAAGAACGTTTCTCTTGGAAATGTGCTTAGCGCCAAAGCCCCTAATGAGCCTGTTCCTTTTATTGCCGAGAAGGATTTGGAGGTTTATCGCAGATGCCGTGACCCCGCATTTGAAGTCCAGGTGGGCATCCATGAACTTCTCGGGCACGGAACTGGCAAGCTTCTCCAGGAGACTGCCCCAGGAGAGTATAACTTCGATATTTACAACCCTCCTCTGAGTCCAGTCACGGGGAAACCTGTATCTACATGGTACAAGCCTGGTCAGACCTGGAGCTCGGTTTTTGGAGCTATCGCCTCTTCTTACGAAGAGTGCCGTGCAGAGTGCGTTGCTATGGTGCTCAGCTGCGACTTTAGCATTCTGAAGATTTTTGGGTTCGGAAACGGGCAAGAAGATCTCACCAACGAGGCTGGAGATGTCTTGTTCGCAGCATATCTGCAGATGGCTCGTGCAGGCCTCGTCGCCTTGGAGTTCTGGGACCCCAAAACTCAGAAATGGGGGCAAGCCCATATGCAAGCTCGCTATAGTATTCTGCGAACATTCCTTGGCGCCGGTGACGATTTCGTCAAGCTTTTCTATACGAAAGAAGATCTCTCGGATTTGGAGATACATCTAGACCGATCGAAGATTCTGACGCACGGACGTCCAGCCGTGGAGAAATATCTGCAAAAGCTGCATATCTACAAGAGTACCGCGGACTTTGAAGCAGGTAAGAAACTTTATGATGATGTCACGTCGGTTGATGAATGGTGGGGGACCAAAGTTCGCGAGGTTGTTCTTCAGAACAAGGTCCCACGTAAAGTGTTTGTCCAGGGCAACACCATCCTAGATGGGGACGAAGTGACCCTGAAAGAGTATGAACCGACGCTAGAGGGAATGATCCAGAGCTTTGTTGAACGCAATGTCTAGGTTCATAGATAGACTTGCATATGACCTGCGCGCAACTGGTGGTGTAGTTTACCTATATCTGGATACAAGATACCCGTTGATGGTGTTCCCCTTAAATTCGAGGGACTTCCTAAAACTATTATCGTCCTCTGTGATACTGGAAGAGTAGTCATGTGACCGGATGTGAATCCATTTATATTACAGATCATGAAAGTATCCCTACTGAAAAGTCGAGAAATCCATCGCTAGAAATGGCTGTTCACCGATGGTCCTTGAGTAAACAAAGTGATTGGGGCGGAGGAGGAAGTAGCGCAGTAGCCCCAAGTGCTCCGTAGGCCAACTTCTGCCAATGTTTCCCCCATCACCTCTAAGCGCTTCCCTCCCACACTTCTCCTCCCATCATCTTTGCCTCATTCACAGTTGCAGCTTCCGGTTATTTCGTACTGCCCTTCATTCATCGGTTTCTCGTTTTCTAGCTCGAGCATAAATTCTGTCTTTCACGAATACCCGCTGCGTCCCTATGTTTTACCGACAGCTCTAGAGACACCACTCTCCTGATCGGCGTGACAAACGGGAGTCTGGAACCTCCTCGATCAACGGGACGCCCCTCACAAGTAGCTCCTTACAATCGCCAACAGGCATACGAGAATAAACCCTGTCCCTGTGAACTCGAAACGAATCTCGACACCTTGCCGTGGCAATCAAGTGCTCCTGGCTCGCCTATCACGGCGCGGCCGCATCATTTCCCGGATTCTACAGGGGAGGAAGACGACGACTTCTATACTGCGCCGCCGCCGCATTCCCCGTCCTCACAAGCTTCCTCGTCTAGCTTTATCTCAGCACATCCTCCGCCATTCTTGTCTCTTGGGTACAATCCTGGAGCTGATTCTAATCGTGCCAAGCTTACAGTTCCCGAATCTGGGCCGGCTTTCGTCTTGCCGTTCACAACCCCGTCCTCCGAAGAAGAGCAACTGGAACCAGACTCCTCATCATCCGAGATCGCGGAGACCAAGAAAACCTTTTCCAGGGATTCCAAAGTTTATTCTCCAGGAAGGTCAGCGGAAGAGGGAGAGCCTCCTCCCCCGTATACCGAAGGATCTAGTCCCATAACCTCATTCACCTACGTTATGGCTACGGCAGGAGGCGCGTCGAGTATCATCACTCAAGTGCAACAAGCGGGTGGACCACCGATAAACACTTTAGGAGGTATGGCACTTGATCGGCTCTTCTGATCATCTGTACGAGTCAATAACACCTATTCTGGAATTTAGACATCGGCGGCGATGAACATATCACTCTTGACCTCAGGTGAGACGCGAACCTTAAATTACTGGTCATTAATCTCTAACTTGGTTTGCAGGGGAACCAGGTTCACACTCTCTCGAGACGAACTGTTGACACTGCCGGAGTTTGTCCTTTTATCGCTGTTTCCGAATGGTTTGCTTCCAGATGGACACATGGGCACCTTTCACGAAGGTGATATTTACCCTGTTGATGTAAGTAATGCAAAAACACTCTACTGCTTCACACATAAGTCCCTTCTGTCAACCGATATACCCTTCTCACATATACACGTTAGTATGACCCGGTGTCTCTCCAGTACATGCTAGACTTCTTCCGCTCCGTCGCTCAATCCATCCCGTCGTCGCCAACAGCCTCGACATCACAAGACCTAGACGTATCCCCCGACTCCCTGCAAGGATCGACTAGGGACATGCTCCAGGACCGGGCAGGTATCATCGTGCTACGGGAAGACCTTGATTTTTATGCAATTCCTCCACGGCCGGATATCGATCACGCGGAAATGATTGAGGTCAAACGTGCAGCTGCAAGAGCACTACTGAAACAAGATGGGATATTCTCAGGATTGAGGAAGAGCGATGAGGCCGGTTCAACAGAGCAGCACTTGATCGAGATGCTGACTGCAGGGTAAGTATATATCTTTGAGCATCCAGCTCTCTTTATGACCTTGAATACTGAGATGAATATAGCGGTTTTGATCGTAATGATCGGTGGGGCCACCGGGCCCCAGAGCCCAACAAGGCAGTTATCTGTAGCCTCGCATTGGCCAAACTCCGTACTGATATCAGGGGTGATATCCCTAATAACAACGCAGTCGGCATGGCCCAGAAACTCCTCCTATTTTGGAGAAAACCTGCTAGAAGATGCTGGTGGGAGGGTGTTGAGTTGGAGAATATCGAAGGCGTTGAAGGCAAGGTGAAAATCTGGATTCGGAGAGTATGGACTTTAGAAATGGTAAGGCTTGCAAACCCTACGGCTGATTTGACGGCTCATCCTAACATGACTGCAGAGTGTAATTGGGCTTCGATGACCAATTCCTACCTATCCTTTAAGCTTCGCATCCTTCTCGTGCACCGTTTTGCATGCTAAAAGCATACAATTGGCAGCAATTACTTCTTTTATTGTTTTCCACAACCCTTTTTTTTTTTTCAAAGCCCATTTTTGGAGGAGTTCATGATATCCCTATCTACTTCCGCGTCTGCCGTTGCAGACAAGGGAAATGGCGTATTCAATTAAAGATTGAGGGTACTAGTGTCATTCTGTTTATTGTTTCCACCAGCTGGCCGGACTCCATGCATTGATATAACCCCTCTTTTCTTTTTCTTTTTTCTTTGTGTTTGCCGTCCATAGCTAAAGTTTTATCCTCGACATCTTTTTTTGTTTCTTGTTTAACTAGTGATAACGTCCTTCGTTGTTTGAGAAAGTCCTAGACATCTACAATACAATCCTAGGACCTGATTCACCTCTCTCTCTCTCTCTCTCTCTCTCTCTCTCTCTCTCTCTTTCTCTTCTTCTTCATCGTCTTCATCGTCTTCATCGTCTTCATCGTCTTCTTCGTTTCCCCCTGGTAAGAAAAAGACAGAAATAAAAAGAAATAATAGGAATCGAGTAAGTTTGAATCAATCTCGCCGATCCATAGATACAGAGATGATAATTTGGTTACATACACGTGACTATAATTCCGAAACAGGATTAGCGGGAACACTCCAGTGGGAAAACGCGACAAAGCAGAACAGGCGGAGCTCGACCGCGATCACCGTTAGAGGAGCTTTGGCTTATACTAAAGATCAACCTGTGCAAGTCGCTGACCTAGGCCAACTCTACCGCATTGCCAGATTTACTAATCACCTTTTCAAGTGGAAGCGACTCGCCAATTCACTTGCAACTTTCACATATTTTCCTCTTCCACGGTTTCACCCTTTCGTTGACCGCATTTAAGATAAGAATTGCTTGTTCGCGAATCGGAACGCCCTGGCAAATCAGAAAGGGACATGTTCTTGTCCACATAAATGGCCAACATGTCCCCCCTCAGAGGCTATATTACTTCTTATTCCCCACGAGTCCGTCAATATGGAAACGCGCTTCTCACACCGGTCATTCCTCCAAGCCAAACCGGTCCGACACCGCGAATGACAAAGCGAGGAACAGCGGCAATAAACTACGCTGAAGATGGGTTTGACGACGATGATTTCGAGGACAGTGAAGGTCCCCGACGACCCACTGGCTTGAGGAGCCTTCGACGGGAAGAGTCGACTGTTGACAAGGTTCCTTTGACGGAAAAGTTGGGGAAAGAAGTTCACGCTCCTGTTGAGGTTCAAGGGGTATTTCGGGATTGGATGATCAAGAGGATGCTGAGGCCTGTGTATGCTTTGTTAATCACCACTCCCTTGCTCTATCGCCTAAAGTCATTCTTTTGCGAAGGATGCTAACTTTTGAGTTTTGCTGTTATGCAGCTGCGCCGACCAACTGCAGATTCAGGCGCAGCTCCCCCTCACCCTAATACCCATTCGCATTGATTTAGAAGTTCCAGCGCATCAACCTCTAGAACCCTTCCAATTGCCCCGAACCGTTCTGGATCCCGGTATCAACCCTACTCTCCCCGGCTATAGAAGACCCGAACCGTTACCTGCCTTCAGGATCAAGGATACATTTCTTTGGAACCTTCACGAAGCGCTGGCGACTCCTGAAGAATTCGCTACGGGCTTTGTTCGTGACTTAGATCTACCCAATCCACAGGCCATGACAATGGCAATCAGCAATCAAATTCGTCAACAATTAGAGGAATATGCTGGTGTTGCGCTACATCCGCTATTTCAAAGTACAGTGCCAAAGCTGCCTTCTGCCGGTCAAGCTGGCGTATCGCGCGATGTATCTGCAACTCCTGCTCCTACCCATGCCGCCACGCCTGATAGCAGATCCAACGCAGTGACGGTAACCAAGGAGCCATTTGTTAACGACAGTTTCCTGAATCCAGATGATGCATACAGATGCATGATCAATCTCAACATCAACCTGCAAAATAAATTATACACTGACAAGTTCGAGTGGTCTCTGCTGCATCCTCCGGGCATGGCAGAGGAATTCGCGAAAATTACTTGTGCGGATCTTGGTCTTAGCGGAGAATGGGTCGGAGCTATTGCACATGGTATTTATGAAGCTGTTCTAAAGTTGAAGAAAGAAGTCTGTGAAAGCGGTGGCTTAGTCAGTGGCATTGGCGGCTATGGAAATGAGATAGACAACCAAGCGGCCAATGGCACTGAGGCCGGTTGGCGTTATGACCCAGAGGGACTCGGCGATGAATGGGAACCCAAGGTGGAGACGTTGTCAAAGGAAGAAATTGAGAAGCGGGAAGGCGATCGTGAACGGCAGATCCGTCGTCTACGGCGAGAAACCGCTAGGTTCTCTTCTACTGCAGGCATCACTCCAGACGTTTCACGACAAGGTAGCGGAGGCTACTTTGACGTCGACAGTGAGACCCCTCTAGGTAGGGGAGAAAGGAGTAAACGAAAAAGGCGTTTCCGCAGCCTAAGCCCATTGGGGAGAGGAGGTACGCCTGGTGGACGAGGAACTCCAGACACCTCTTCCGGCGCCGGGTATGGCGGTGGTGGCGGTACATTATCCGATTGGTTTGTCCTCTCACTCTGCTACTGTTCTTCACCTTCTATGGCTGACTGTTTCTTCTTTGCTTTCAACAGGGAACGGCAAAATTGGCGGTGCAGTAATTGCATGGTATGGGGTACCGCCGTTTGGGCTGTTCGGGATGGCCCTGCCGGTCCAAGGGTAGGCGCAATACAACTATAAAGTCCGCAGCTATGCTCAGTTCACTGACTCACTGGATCCTAGACACTCTGCCACAATTGTGGTCTTCTATACGAACGTGATAAAGTTGCACCGGAATGGTCTAGAGATCTACACCGTCACGATATACCGGTTGGCCGAGCATAGTCCCAACAGATGGACATACTTGGCTCGGCTTTCGCCGCCGGTCTATTCATATGGTTTGGGTAAGACAGCAGTTACTGGTCTTCAATTAAGAAAGCCGGGAACGAATAGGTTGAGCGTAGCTGACATTAGTCGGTCAATAGGATCAGTTACGAGCTCAACACCACAATCACATTTAGTGAAACTAAAGACTGCATCCTACATCACTTCAGGATTGGAACATAGTCCCTGTAGTTTTCAAAACCTTGGCCATGATATCTTTAATGAACCCTTCACAGTTAGGATTCGGCGTCTTTGATGTGATTCATGTCTCCTTTCTCTTTTCATCACTATTATTACTAACTTTTACCTATTACCCTCTGCATTCTTTTTGCAGTTTTCCTGTGCAACTTGCTCTAGGAGAAAGACTTTATTTTATTTCCTTCAATGTTTTCTTCAATCTTGCTCTTATCGTTTTTCCAAAATTTTGTTCTGGACTGTTGTATTACCGATATGTATACTCCGTACTGGTTACTCTAAAGTAGTGGGCGGTTCATGTTTTTATTATGGATTTTGATCTTTATTCTTTTCTCTTTTTATTTATTTATTTATCTTTGTTTTATTTTCTTCTGACACTTAGCAGTGTAGTATAAAGCATGGGAAGGAAAATCTAGGACTGAGAACAATGATTGAACGTATTGTGGCTCAGTAATGAGTTCATATCCAATATGTTTATGTATTATATTTTCGGATGTCTTTGGTTAGTCCTTTCACGATACGGACACGGAGTACCAAGGCAGAAATTACTCGCCATTATTAGACGTGGTGTCCATGTATTGAGCAGCGTACAAGCTAAATTACCGATTATGTGTAGTACTACTGTAGTGCAAGTTTCCACCTGGAGACAGATCACTAGATTTGACGTATAATAAAACACAGATGGAATACTCAGGGTCCGTTTACCAGTCGTTAGTTCTACTGTGTCCAACAGGATCTTTATTTAACACCTAACATGGTTGGTAAAGTGGTGATCAGTTGCTGAGCGGCTCGTTCCTTTCTTTTTCTCCCCTATAACATGGACGACATATGTCCTCGGCGAAACCCTTCCTTTCTTTCCACCTTTTTATTCCTTTTATTTGTTTTTGAAGGGATCTCGTCCTGTGACTCTTGTTTTACCTGATCATTCTTTGTTACGCGTAGGGTAGCTTACTTGGAAAGCCCCAGGTAGTATTACGTTACGATAAGAGGTTTCAAACAGATACTTGACAAACCCGCCAATCGTGTAGAACGACTCTGCTCTCTTCCATGTTGTGATGGATTACATTAATATTTGTAGATACCTGCTGGGTTGTTTCTGATGCAAGTTGATCTGAGAATCAGCCATAGTCTCATTAGTCCACAGGGCAGGCAACAACACATGTAAGGCTCATGCATCGGACATCACACTCTTTTTGCGTGGGGAATCTCTGGTGGCTCCTGCATGTAAAGCATCAGGAACACGTTGTGCCTCTAAACGGATAAATTCCTCATAATCAAGGTGCTCTACTGGCGAGGAAGGACGTACTAAGTCGGCGCGTCTCTTTCTGTCCATCTCATGTAAGCTCCCCACTCCACTAATCTGGACATATTTTCGATTCGCGAGAGAACGGCCGGGGGAGAGGCTGTTACCCGGGCAGATGACGTTTCGGCTTCCTTCGATCTTTATTCCTGAGTTAATATTGATTTCTACGGGTGAAGATCCGTCTTTGGTCAGGTGAAGGAGGCTGGCCCTGCCAAGAGCGGTGATAATGGACGTCGCCATGCCCGTTAACTTGGTCTGGCGATGTCGCTGTGCTGATTGCTGCTGCTGCATCGTAGAACTTGGTAGCGAGGAAGATGTCGTAGGGTTGTTGTCTTGCTGTGGGCCTGCCACAGATGGTATGATTAAGGTGTTGTCATTCCCTCGCACGTTGATCGATGCGTCGATATGGATGTTAACGGGGGTGTGGTGGTGACGGTTGCCGTTGCTAGGAACAGACTCCCAGGGCATGCATTCATCGCCATTGTCGCCATCATCAGCATCTTCCGGCTCATCCTTGTCAATCAACTCGTTTTCGGCGAGGGCGAGATCTGTACATTACTCCTTGAATATGAAGGTGGAGGTGACGCCCTCGTTTGATTTTGAGCGGCTGCTCTTGTTTCTGCAAGTTTCTGTAGTTGATGGAGCAAGGAGCCGGAGGGAGGAAGCATTTTGCGCTAAATATGGTAGCCGTCCGCGGTATAGATGATCTCAAGGGTAGACAAATGTGTCGTATAACAGTTGGCAGGAAATATCCCGTAAAGCATGGGTAGGAAGAATAGCAGATCTATACGGCCCTGGGATAAGATATACTAGATATATATATCGAGAAAGGAAAAGAAATGAAAACGGGTGCTGAGATGCTATGCGATATGAGAGAGCTAGGATCCCACTAAGACTGAACAGTGAAACATGATTCCAAAGCAAGAATATGCAATCAACTGGCCCACGATCACAGCACCTGGATATAACGTTACACGCGGTGTTCCCTTGATAACAAGGAATGATGCATCAGTAGGTAGACCAACACTGCTCACAACAGCATGTTGATAGTGCAGGACTGTATCCCAGCTAGCCCCTACAACCGGGGCAGAGAGCCAATCGAGTCAAGCACGTCGTTACCGCCAAGGGGACGCAATAACGATACCATGGAGTTGCAATAATGGTCCCGGCCTCCTTATTGAGCCGCGACAGGGTTGGTATTGTTCTTGATCATCAATAGGAGAATAGGATCACGCGAATGCCTGGTCACCGGTGATCTGGTACTGTACTGTACATAACATACAACTTTTTGTTGATGTGTCAGTGCGGGTCAGATCTCTCATGGGAACCCCAGCAACCACAAGGGAATAGAAAATCAGGGGTAATGAAAGGAAAAGAAAAGGAAAAGGAAAAGAAAAAGGAAAAAGTGGGAGTCATGCTACGGAGTATGTTCTCCCCTATATTCCATGAACAAGCTTTTTTCTTTCCCCCACCGGTACACCTCCCAAAAATAAACAAACCAGAACGATAAGGCTGGGAAATGAATTAAGCCCAGCGATCACCGAACATCCAACTCTCATGAAGAGCTTGGTCATCATGCCCTGTGCCTAGCTCGTTGATCGTACTTGCTTGAGACGCGTGCTTGGATGTTTCATTCCCTCCACACCGCGGTAGTACGGTATCTGATTGAAGAGACGTTCCATAAACAGAATCTAAATAGTACAGTATCCATTCGGTCAGGTACCGTGTCTCAAATGTCGGCTCTAGGCTGCAAACAGACTGGTGGGTGCTTTGTGCTCATTCTACTACTACTTACTGCTATTGTCGTGATTCATTGCCATCGTGTACGGGCTTCGCCCTTGCTGCGTACGTGTTTTTCCTTCGGGATAATACTTGCCACCAGGATGTAGAGGCTGCATAGTCTGGGATCTGATTAGCAGGAACAAAGGCCGGTATATATAGACTAAAATATACCAGCGCTCGTGCCACGCCAGCCGAAACTCTAGAGATCACGGACTGGTACTGACTTCACGGAACTCATCTCCTTCGATATGAACCTCGCGGTCTCGGATACGGCGCATCAAGGCGAGGAAGTTACTTTCCCGAAATTTCTGGCTTTGATCGTGGCTGACATTTTCCAGTAACTGTCCCGCTGTTCGGGCAAGCTCGTCTGAGTCATTGTAATGTGCTCGAGCGTCATCCTTTTCGGCCTGGGGTATGGTGTCTGAACCAATCCGGATGGCTTCAACTTGAGGAGCAGCAGTTGCATCCGGATTAGAGGTCTCATTGGTAAGTTCTTGTGCGTGATCAGCCGTTTGTGACGCTAAATCCGCCTTGGCTTGTTCAAATGCAGCTTCAAAGGCAGACTCATCGAAGGCTTCAGTGGATGGTAGCTGGCTAGCTGTCAGAGCTTGCGATGGCGGGGGAGCATTTACTGCACTCTCGTGTATAGGATAACTAGGCGTAAAAAAAGGTTGGAACCCCTGGGCGAAAGGTTTGTGTTGCTGAGCAGGACTAGGTTGCCGCTGTTGGGCTAGAAAATCATTCCGCCAACCATGCTGTGCAAGGTTCGACGCTGAGGCTGGGGTTGGGCCGACTTGTTGATGAGCTAGAGGTGAAGAGCCAGAAATCTGTAGCCTCTGAAAGTCTGCTGTCCAATTGTGCTTCTCTACTTGATTGTGTACCGCGAAATGAGGCGTAGCGAAGTGGCCCGGATGTTGTAAATCGGGGAGCGGTGCTCCTGGCATATTGGATTCGAACGCAGCGAATTCGGGATCTGGGATACCTTCGTTGGGATTTTGTGACCGAAAGCCCTACAGCGCAAACCAGATCTTAGTATTGTTGAAAATGGGATCCACACGAATGTAGAGTAAGGCTTAAAACTAACCTGAGAATGCGACTGTCGCGACACTAATCTGTCCTGTTGCAGTGTCCGATCAACAGAGGCATGCTTCTGGAAGTTTTGAAGAGCATTGGACGGGCCACACAGAGCATCACTCATGATGTCGAGGTAGCACGAGCTAGGTGCTAGAAGATCTTCGATGGAGACCCAATATACGATCTAGTGCGATCGACGAAAATTTGATATAGGTGTGAGTTTGGAGGCAAATATAATGAGAATCTTGGTCGGAAGAGGGATCGATTATAAGACTGGCAAGGAAGTCGACATGTAAGGACATACAGAAGAAGGCGTGGGGTAGCCAGCCGAGGAGAGCCGAGGCCGGTCTCACGTGCTAAGGGGCGTGGTCGGGGAATGACTGAGGCGATAAGATAAGATTTGGGTGCGGCTCCTCCCACTGCGAAACGGACAAGCTGGCGGTGTCTGGCTACTGTGCCGATTTGCGTGTTGATTCAACATTCCAACCACCGCCCTCTTCCTCAAAACTTATAATCAGCAGCGCTCAAAGATCAACAAACCATACTCTACAAATATAGTCCCCTAGGGTTTGCTACGGGCATCGAATTGGACAAAATGGTGCGTTTCTCCCTTTCAGCCTGTCCCGATCCTGTTTGTTCTTTTTAAACATTGACGTCCTGACTTGGAGTTCTAGGCGGCCGCTCAGATTATCTCCAATTCTGGACACGATGACATGATTGTACGTGCTAAAGTTGGAACACATCTGGGTTCAGCGCTATGTATTCCCCGAGCTGACCCACCTATGATACGCAGCACGACGCTGGCCTGGACTACTATGGCCGCAGATTAGCCACTTGCTCGTCGGATAAGACAATAAAGATATTTGAGATCGAAGGCGAGACGCATCGCCTGGTGGAAACTCTAAAAGGGTGAGAAATATCCTCTTTGTGATTAAACGCGCGATTACTGAAATGAGAAAATACGAACATAACAGACACGAAGGCGCAGTTTGGTGTATCGCATGGGTGTGTACCAATCTCCCCAAGCAGCTCATATGGATTTACACTCACCGCAACTGAGCCCTGAACTGACAAATGCATTTGTTCTGACTCTAGGCGCACCCTAAATTTGGTACAATTTTGGCCTCTTCATCCTATGATGGAAAGGTCCTCATCTGGCGCGAACAACATCAAAACACAACATCCCCTGTCGCTGTAAACACCTGGACAAAGGTCTTTGATTTCTCCCTCCACACAGCCTCGGTGAATATGGTCTCCTGGGCTCCGCACGAGAGTGGATGCCTTCTTGCTTGTGCTTCTTCCGACGGCCATGTTAGTGTTCTTGAGTTCCAGGACAATAGCTGGACTCATCAGATCTTTCATGCTCATGGAATGGGCGTGAACTCTATTAGCTGGGCCCCTGCGGCATCTCCTGGTAGCCTGATCAGTGCCAACCCTGGACCGGGTCAGCAGCGGAGGTTCGTCACCGGTGGAAGCGATAATCTGCTCAAAATCTGGGATTACAAGTACGTGCAAATAGCAAATTCCGCTTTACTACTTGAATGTAGATATACTAATCACGCTGTATAACCATGCAGCCCGGAAACCAAGTCCTACAATCTCTCTCAGACACTTGAAGGCCACTCCGATTGGGTCCGAGACGTTGCTTGGTCGCCGAGCATACTTTCCAAGTCCTACATCGCGTCTGCCTCCCAAGATAAAACTGTTCGCATCTGGACCTCGGATGCGTCGAATCCTGGTCAGTGGGCCAGCCAGCAGCTCGAATTTGACACTGTGCTCTGGAGGGTTAGTTGGAGCCCGAGCGGAAACATCCTCGCTGTCAGTGGAGGAGATAACAAGGTCAGTTTATGGAAGGAAAATCTCAAGGGACAATGGGAGAAGGTGAAGGACATTGAGGAGTGATTTTCATGTAACCCCTTCTTCTTCTTTGTTTTATAATATGAACCTTTCCAATATTTTTATTTCATAACCTGCTATGATGGACATATTGGGCTTACTTAGGTGATTCCCAAAAGAGTTAACAAGATGTATGTGTATGTGTGATCACAAATTCCAAAAAATGAACGGCCCTCTTTCTGTCGTGTCAATCATATCAACCCATTGTCCTAACATGATCTTACCCCCGGGAAGGATCACTCCCTCATAGCCTTGTATCCAAAGAAAATCAGTTTCCAGCTCAACCGGTGGCCACAGCTCGTTTAGTAAACATGCTGCTTCGTCGTCACTCGGCTCCGATTCGCCAATCTCAAGAAGTAGCGGAAGTTGCTCACGGTCCGCTGCATATATGGCAAAGCAGATACGCTGCCAACCGGGAAAGCCACCTTGCAATCCTCCAATGGGCTCTGTAAAGCCACGCACTGGATATAGATCGTCGTCAAGTCTTTGAAACCCACGGAAGTATAAGCGATGGGACTCTGGCCCAATCATCGGGATTATTTTGTTGAGTTCAGGTGGCCAGTTCAAGGTATTCAAGTCTGGTCTGATTCGAAAGAACTGGGAATTGACCTGTGTTAGCATTCTTCTTCCCCAATGCCTTATGCTATAATACATACCAATGGATCAGTGTCCCCTTGTGTCCAATGTGAGTTCAAATCAGCGCATGATTGCCGGTTTTCAAGCTCGATGACTGTTTCCGGGTAGGGATGGACGCATGCTTCAGGGCAAGTTTAGTTGTTTGGCATCATGCTTGACTTGAGTAAGTCCGGTTAGACACAATGACTTACACCAGTAACCCACCCAGTTGGCGCCCAGCTCCACATTTTCATTGATAGTAGACCATACCTTGGGTCTTTGGTCTACAGGTAGCTTAGCATAAGACGTGCAGTAAGTAGCTTCATTAGGGCTCAGCAAATGCCGCACCCAGAAATTGCGGATATGCAAAATGGTTAGTAGTTCTAATTTCTTTAGATCAATGAGTGGTCTAGTAAACTCAGTTTGGTAAGAGTAGACATCTGCAATGTCGTAGTCTGTTCGGAGGCAACGAACGGACATTTTTGGGTCAAGCGCTAAGCCGGTTAGACACTATAAAGGGATATTGTCATTGCTAGCTCTACAGTTCTCACATGCACATATCTTGGTTGCCCTACCAGTTGAAGAGCGCAAAATAAACCGGACGGTCGGTCTCGTTTCGTGTTTCCATAGCCGCTTAGGGGCCTGCTGAGAAAGTCTGGAGCAGAAAGCTGAAGTGCCTCACGGATGCGCTCGAACGTCTTTGAAAAGACCACTCCGTTCATTTCCGTAATGGTCAGAGCCTCTAGGAGGATGTCTTGCATCACCGTCAGCCATAATAGTTGCTCTTCTTTCTGGCCATATCTAAAACTGATTTTCTGAGAGAGAACGATCGAACGAATCTGATACTCGATCTTTAATTCAGAGGAACTCCGGCCTGGTGGTGTATCATACAAGTTCATGAAACGGTATCGCCAGACAGACGACTCCCCAGGTAAGAGTTTCTGAGCTATAAAGTCACAGCATGAAGAGAGATGTGCAACATCAGCGTCACTTGGCAGTAGACAAGCTATGTATTGGACTATCTGAAGCATGAAAAATTCAGCAGCTGGCTTAGTAACAGAATAATTCAGAGTGTGTACCTCAGCTGGTAGTCGCTGAAACAGGTTGGCGGATCGGCTTCGGATAGCTGCTTGGAAGGCCAGCCGCTCCATTATTGCACGTTGGTATATCTTCTCAGGCCTTGACGTTGCTATCTTTCTTGCTATCACCCGACTAGGTATGCTTGGAATCTTTCGTACTATACCCTTCGTTCTGAACTTTAAACGTTCGGTGGCTGGCAAATGTCATTAGGCAATCGCAACAGCGCTGATGCAAAACGCAAACGGTTCCCACACTGAGACTCAATTGACAATATCTATATATCCTCAACGTTCAGTTGTGATAGGAGCCTGACCAGAACTTCTCTGAGACCAAATCAACACCTATCTCCAATGGTCATAGCACCATGGTCACCATGAAATGCTATTATCCGAAGGGATAATCTTCCTGCATAGACGAGTTGCATTCCAAGGGGCTTCCATGACTAGCAATGACGGTTTGAGCGTTCTATGTCTTGGTAGGCCCTGAGCTCATTCTACAGCCATGCACTTGTCGTAATCGCACTTGTACTCATGAGAGCGGCCTTTTTATCTACCTCTTAAGCTTGCATCAACCACCCCGCGGGCGACTTGGGAATGACTGTTTTTGTCCATGCCGCATCGACGATCTCAGGTCCAACTACACCCATGATAACCAACATTCAGGAGGAAGTAGCCACAGTCCCGGTGTGAATAGGCGATTCACTACTAGTATTGACGTGTTCAAACATAGCCAGTGGCATTAGTTTCGCGGTGAATAGAGCTTTCCAGCCAGCCAAGTTCCTGGACTAAAATGTTCATCTCCTGTGGACAAACAAATAATGTTACGAGATATAAAGATACCGAGAGGCTAGCTGTTTTCATTCCGAACCTGCTAATGCGAGAGTGGCTGATATATTCAACATCTACGCATAATAATCAGAGGGCGACCCCCGAAGTGAATTTGGAATGTTTTATATCGACCTCAACAGTGTCTTGGGCAGTAATTATATGGCTCTCCACTGCTTTCGTCGATCACCCAAGGAGGGTCAGAAGTGCAAGGGATATCACCGGTAGCTGCTATTCCCTCTATCCGTGTGATACCTCTCCCCTCTACGTAGTAATTAAATGTGACTCTAACCAACCTGTTATATAAGCTTCCCTGGGATGACGTGCTAGTCTATCCGACATTCCCCTTCAAAATGAACTTTTTTGGTTTATGCTTTAAATTTTGAATCGCTTCATGCGGAAGGGTATCCGCATCAATGCGATCTGTACAGCAGTGCGGGCTAATTTCTTTGTTCAAGGTTCAAGAGTGAGGGAGAAGACCCCGCTAAGGCTACTAATTTCAATAGAGCTGTTCATCAAAGTCATGCCACTCCCTTGGTGTGGTAATGGAGCCGTAGATTCTGGAGGCACCCGGCTTTCTGGCCAAAAGTCCTTTGGTCGACGGTGGATAACTCCGGCACAAACTGCCATCCACCAGAATGGGTGACTTGACAAGAAATTCTATGACTGCAACGGTGGTAGCTCCCTAAATTGTTGCAGGTGGGTATATCGGTAAAGCAAGTTCGGGTTGCGCCTTAGTCTAAGAATTGTCCTATATCCTTAGTTACTCCTCCTAGCTCTGCCCATTAATGACAACATATACATGTGTAGGGTTTCTCTATTTTTCTTTTTGGTTGTCTAGGAGTCGTTGCGGGTCCTCGCCAGACTTTCCTTGACACCCCAGCCATCTGCGAGGAGTTCCTTGACCTCTTCTAACCCGAGCCCACTCATCTCTGGATAGATCGCCCACACACCAAACCAGCTAACTGCACACACGACCGCATAGGTTCCAAAGGTCCACGCTGGAGACAGAATTTCCATCATGGGCAGAAAAGTGAGCCCGACAATGAAATTTGAGGCCCAGTTCGTTGCTGTAGCGAATGCAGACCCGAGAGACCGCACACTTAAAGGGAACAGCTCAGACTGTTGCCAGGGTACATTGCCAAGCCCGAAAGCGTAAGAAGCGGTATAAACCGTTAAACACAAGAGAATAGTAATAGGGAGCATTCGGTCATCCGTCACGGTGTCACTGAACCTTGCACGTGTCTGTGGGTAAGAGGACAAATCTGATGATACCAAAGAGAAGGTTAATGCGCAAACGATGAGAGATATTGCCATGATAGGTATGGAATAGAGGAGTGTTCGGCGCCGGCCGATCCTATCGATGTAGGTAAATGCAAGCAATGTAAAAAGAAAGTTAGTCGTGGCCACTGACAGCGACGTGAGCGTCGGCGACGAAAAGGACAGAGACGAAAATATGAGGCCAGCGAAGTACATAAGACTATTGAACCCGCAGAGCTGCTGCGAACCTTGCAGCATCATCGCTATAATCAATGCTCTTCTATTGCCACCAATGTAGAAGAGATCTGTGGTACGCCGCGAGATGTAGCGAATCCATTGTTGGCCGGCCCCATAAGCACTATCAGAATGGCCTAAGCATTCTTCTGCCACCTCCTGCTGTATTTCCCGTAAGATTTGTTTAGCGATGTACTCACTGTTTGGATGACCCTGGTAGACCTTCCCCAGGACAGCTATAGCATTTGTTTCGAATCCTGCTTGTGCCAGCCATCGGGGTGTTTCAGGTAGAGCGGTGAGAATAACAAGCTGGAAGAGTGCCGGAAGTATTCCAATGCCTACGATCCAGCGCCAGCCTCCGTCAATTAAGGAAAAGAGCCAACCCACGACGTATGCTACAACTTGGCCACCGGTGATGAACAAGGAGAGGATTGTCACCAGTCTGCCCCTCATATTGGATGGTGCCAATTCGGAGATGTATCTGATGAAGCAATTAGCTAGAAGCTGGAATCTCTAAGCAAGCAGCTTGCTTAGTTTCGATAGACTTTTGCCCAAGGTTATTGTTTACAAGATATTGACCTACAATGGAGTTACCAAGCTTGCGCCGCCGACAGCTAACCCAACAATACTTCTACCAGCAATCATGCTCCAGACTTCACTGGAGATTGCCTGCACAAAAGCACCTAGAGCGAACAGCGCATCTGCAACGAATATAACCTTCCGGCGACCGAACTTGTCGGCCAGAATTCCCGCAAGGGGGCTGGCAACCAAAGCAAACAAACTTGTGCAAGATGTTATCAGACTTTTGTCTAGTGTTGTAAGATCGCGGTTGGAGAGATCCGTGCCGATTGATACGAGCGTTGAGGAAATCACCCCTGTGCTTCACAATCGCGGCTGTCAGTATTTGATTTCAGCACTGGGACCATTTGCATTCGAGGAGAAGCGAAAACGGTCATGCCGTACTCATAACCAAATAATAGCCCACTAAGACCAGCAGAGAATGTCAATGCCCATATAAATCGAGTTCCCGAGTAGTTTGACTCTCTATCAATGTGCCTATCCTCTTCATTGTTGGGGAGGTTGTGAGTAGTGTGTCCGTCTAGATTAAGTAGAGGAGCGTTAGGGTCCAATGTATCGTTTTCATGTCTAGTACCCATGTTTAAGAAGAATCTTCCTGATAATGAATAGAT